GGTGGGAGGGGTGAAGGCCCGAAAATGTTGGCTAATAAGTGCACTGAAAAGGGGCAGGGGCAGAGGCAGAACGGGAAGATCATACTGAGGAGTGGGATGGAGGAACTAAATATTCTTTTCCTTTCCTTGAAGACACACAAAACCAAAAATCAAGGAATGAAATTTGGGTTCTTGAGCCTGCCTGTCAAAGTTCTCAAACCAACCACCAGCTTACCTTTTTAACATGTTGAACATAACTTTTGAGTCAAGCTGGACCACTCCCACTGCCCTGAACTGCCTCATGCCTTTTGATCTTTGAGTCCCAGATCTTTCTGTCATATTTATGTACTGGAATCTTCTGAATTTTTGTTCAAAAGGCACCTCTTCCGTGAAGCTTCTGTAACCCCCAGGCTGGAATGAGCTTTGCCTTCTCCAGACTGTTCTAGAATTTGCTTATACTTGTGACAAGATGGCAGTTGCCACAGCCTTTCATTATAGTTATTTGTGTACATATCTTATCATTTTTTTAAAGATTTTAAACCCATGTTTTCTTTAGCTTTACCTTTCGCACAGTATCTAACACAGTGCCCGCAGATAGTAAGGACCTGGTACTGCCTCGTGTTTGTGCAATGTTCTTTTTAAGTACTGAGTTTGCCAGTTAATTATTGGAGGAAGATGGAAAACCAAAGAAGCAAGAATTAGGTAGTAGGGATAAATATGCACTGACTATAAAACAGATCTGAGAGATAAAATAAATATGAAAGAGGAGAAGCCGGGAGGAAAAAAGCAGCTGATCATGTTGACTCGTTCATGTAAGCATTTACTGAAGGTATGATATGGTATGATGTAAGGATATATTGGTTACTGTGGGAGGAAGATATACAAGTGAACCGGCTTTAATCCTGCCCTGGAGGAGTTACTCACAGTCCGAAGCTGACAGTCCATGTAAATAAACACTTATGGTATATTATGATAATACATGCTTAATTAAAGCATTGGATTCCTAGGGGGGGAGGTTGGGGAACATGAACAGGAAGGTAAAGAAGTTGACTTCTCAGTTGACTTTAGAAGAAACTTTCAAATCAGAGGGAATAGCTTGTGCCAAGTCGGAGGACTGATGTTTTTAGGGAATTTCAGATATACCGAAACAGGGGAGAGGAGATTTGAAAAATAGGAGTGTTCTAGTCATAAAGTCATGGTACAATGAGGAAAGACAGTTTTGAATTTTACCAGGACGGGATGTCTAACAGGACGGGTGAAATTTGCTTTTCACAAAGATCAGCCATCACAGAAGGTCGGTTGGAGGTGGCAACACTACAGGCAGGAGACGGGCTAGGAACGGATGCGCCGTGATCTGGCGTCAGTGTAGGACGCGGACCTGAACCAAGGCCTCGGCTGCGGGAGGGCTGAGAGAGCAGGCCTGGTGGGCTCAGCCAGCAGGATGACCCGTTAACTAGGTGCGGAAGAACCTGAGAGAGAGGTGGCATCAGTGAGGATTAAGTGTGACTGTATGTAACAAAACCCCTAAGTACCCCTAGCTTCTCCGGAGGGCAGCCACGCAGAGCTTATGTGACAGCTCCACCAAGTCTGCAAGGGCCCTTGCTCGCTCTTACTGTTCCACCCTTCGCGGCATGTCCTTTCCATTCACTGGGTAACCTCACAGTCGAAGAATCCTGGAGATGGTGTAGCGATCGCATTCACAGTCCAGGTAGCAGAAGCGTAAACCTGGTTCTACTCTCAGCTACGTCACGTTCCTTTAAGGGGCCTTTCCCGGCCCCTCAGTCACACCCGCCACATTGTAAGTACTCAGTAGCCACATGTGGCTGATGGCTACCCTCCGGGACAGCACAGATATGTACCATTGTCACCTCTGCAGAAGTTCTATTAGACAACACTGTCTCCATCTAACAGCCAGTTCACAGGGAAAATTGGAGAATAGATGAACATACTAAATTGACCCCACGAGAGTACAACCAGACAAATTGAGAATGTGGAAAATTCTACATGACAAATCACATCATTTTTTCTATAAGTAACATGAAAATAAAGATGAGCCACCTTTTTTTAAATTAAGAGAACTTTAGAAATAACAGTCAAATGTAATCTGTGGGCCTTCTTTGGATCCTGATTTTTATACAAAACTGTAAAAATACATTTTTGAGGCAATTGCATCATAGGCCCTAGTGATCACCTGTTCAGTGAATAAGTCAGCGGAAGGCAGGATAAATCTTCACCATGGAGCTTGAGCAAAATGAGAAGTGATAGCAGATGAAATGCTGGGGACTGGCTTAAAGTAGATGAGTGCTGATAATAATGATAATAGTTACGGTTTATTGGGTGCCAACTATGTTCTAGTATTGCGCTAAAAACTTTATATTTCTCGAACCTGTTCAACCTTGTGAAGGGATGACAGTATCCTCATTTTGACGGTGAGAGTTTAAACCCATAGGTTATGTATGACTTGCTCAGATTCATGCAGAATGCTAACTTGGAGAGCTGGAATTTAACCTAGATCTGCTTGACTAAAGCTTGGGCCTGGTAACCATTAGTTATGGTTTTCACATAACCAAAGTGTAAAAATAAGTAAATCATTTTACAAGAATATTAAGAAAGCATTTAGCAGCTATTCTTTTTGAGATTTCATCCAAAAATATTTTCATATAAGCCTGGTCTGAAATATCAGGAACCATTTTCCCCTGGGCTTTGTTTTCCAGGGCTAGGGACCTTCCACCAGAGGAAGCAAAGTCTAATGCTACCAAGTTACTAGTCGGAGTTTTTAAAGATGGGCCATTGAGTCTATTTCTCCAACTAACAAGAAGAATATGTGGGGACTGTCTTATGGGGCATAAGGCAGATGACCAGTTGCCTTCTACATGGTTATAGCTTTGAAATAGCCACAGTTAAAGATAAGTGATTCTCACATCGATGTCTCTCTCCCTCTCCACTCCTGTCTCTCATAAATTGATTACATTGTGTGTGTAGGTGTGTAAGTGTGTAGGTGTAGGTATAGATATGGCCAAGCATGTTCTTGTCTTTCTTTGAAACTATCTTGGGATAAAGTTTTATTTGACTAGTTTATGCTCCTCTAATAAAGTATGGTAAAATGCATTGTCTCGATTGGAGGTAATGTTGATATTGACTTTTTTAAATTGACATTTTTTGTAGGTATCAGTATTATCTGCAGCTGAAGAAAGATATCTTGGAAGGAAACATTCCTTGTACACTAGAACAAGCAATCCAGCTAGCAGGCTTAGCTGTTCAAGGTAAATAATGACAATTAATAATGTGACAGATCTTTCAGATTAAAACTGTGTTATAACAAAAACAGCAAGGCATTCCTAAAGTTACTGACTTTCTGTAGTAGTGCTAATATGTTAGTAAAATATTATTCTGTTATCTAAGGAGTTTCCTTGTGGCAAAGGAAATGAATTTGGATTGCTTCAATAAAGTGAGACTTCTGAAAGGATAAGCATGTTATCATGTCAACAGAGAAACAGACCAAAAATTGAGAAAACACACACACACACACACACACAGCATTTAACATGCTATGTATTTCTCTATTTCAAGGACTTGATCTGCTGCTAGCTAATATTTTAGGAAGGAAGATCAGCCAGACAGTGAGGTTGATGAGGTTATGGTCACTTATACTTTAGGCATACATCGTTTGTTCGGTTTCTTAAACATTGTTCCTGGATTATAGAGCAAGTTCAGTCATAATAGATAAAGTTATACATTTCTCAAGTATTTTTTCGAATTGTCTAATTCTGTCATTTTTTCACATACGCAATCTATTAACATGGATATATGTACTTTGGAAAGACTTATGATGGGGCATTATTTCAAATGATAGCTGGCATTTAATCTGGGGAATTGAGCTTTTTTTTAAGATTTTAAAAAATTCATTTTTAGAGAGGGAGGAAGGGAGAGGGAGAAAGAGAGAGAAACATCGATATGAGAGCAGAACACACATCGGCTGCCTCCTGCACACCCTCTACTGGGGATCCAGCCCCAAACCTGGGCATGTGCCCTGACCAGGAATCAACCAGCAACCTTTTGGTGTATGGGAAGACACCCAACCAACTGAACCACACAGGCTAGGGTGGGAATTGAAATTTAATCAGAAGAATTATTAATAAAATTCCTTTAGATATTAACAGGCATGGAGACACTTATCATTTTTAGATAGACAAATGCCTGACACACATGGAACCATATTCCTTTGAATCTTCTTAAATGTCATCTTTGGCTTTAAGAGTTAGTTTTTCATAAACTTTTTGGCCGAACGCTCAATTTATTTTTAACAATTAAAAATTTCTGAACAAGTGCAACTTGCTGTAACATACTCAGATGATCTGATTCCACTCTCTAGAGGTGACATCTATTATGAACACTTTGATTTCTTCCTGATGTTTTTCTGTGCATAAGTAAGTGTACGTGATTATAGGGTAGTTTTGTTTGTTTTTTTTATTATAAAAATGAGATCATGTAAAGTTCGTAATTTATTTTTTCACTTTACTGATAGACATTTTTCTAAGCCAAGACACATGAATCTACCTGACTAATGCTTTAAGAAAGATATTTGTTAAACCTACACTTTCTAAAACGTGCTTTTATAGCTGTAAGGCAGATTTCACTTCTGAATCATGAGCACACCTTCTGTATACTGCATATCGAATTTAGGTATGCATGTGTTGCTATGCAAATTAAATGTAATTGACATGTGACTATTTGTCATTCTGTATAGCTGATTTTGGTGACTTTGATCAGTATGAATCCCAGGACTTCCTTCAGAAATATGCCTTATTCCCTGTGGTAAGTAAGACTCCTTGTGATGTTGGGCCTTTTTATAAACAGTTTATTTCCATACCCTTAATTCTCTTTGAAATTAAGTCCAGGAATAGTGTTAAAAAGTCATTCCCCTCTTCTGGGCAACTCAAGTATAAGTGCTTTTCCTGTTACACTTTTCCTGGTCGTGGTAAAGCCACAGAAACGGAAGGGTCTGCAGTCACCGGGCCGGAGCCACAGACATTTGTTTCATGTTTGGACATGAATCTGAAAGGGGGATTCATTCCCTGCTTCTGCGGAACCACGGAGAAGGTTTTGTTTTTAACCGAAGGCTCGAAACCTCACAAAATTATGTTGAAATAAATTTGGCTTCTCATCAGAAATTTAAAAAGTAGATGAGAAAAAGACACTGCCTTCTACTTTGTTATAGTCACTGCTGGTAGACTTGGCAGGAAAGCTGTGCCCTGGGACAGCTGAGGGAGGGACGCTCTTCTGAGCATCTGCACAGCCAGCTGGGAATGCACAGGTGTCACTGCGGTGCTGGGCTCGAAACTGGTCAGTGGATGTTACCAGCCTGAAAGAACTCAGTGGAAACTTTCTCTGGGATGCGTTGAGAAGGCAGGGCAAGTGTTTGGCTCCTGAGCAGAAGCTGCATAATTCCTTAGAAAGATCATGATTACGCGCTTAAGCAAGGCTCCCTCAAATTCATACCAGCCCTACTGATGGTGATGAGAGTTGGGTAGAGCCAACAGCAACGATGCTGCCTGAGAAACCTGGGTGGCTTGTTGACGTGCTTTCAGCAGTGTGTTTTCTTCAGGGCTGGCTACAAGATGAAAAAGTATTGGAAGAAGCAACGCAAAAGGTGGCCTTACTGCATCAGAAATACAGGTAACACTGAGAAAATAAGGCATGGAAATGGTATAGAACCAGTGCCTGTTGGAGCCTGAAATCTGCATCTGCGTCTGCACAGTTAACTCTGGAACTCAGGACCGCTGCTGTGAGGCGCCGGCCTCCCACAGTGCTCGCCCATCCAGGCACGCGCCCGTGTTAGCTCACCTGTCACCCGCGTTGTGTCAGTGAGGACGCCGAGGGCGTTGAAAGCAGCCCGTCCCTGAAGGGTGCCCGTTCCCCACCCCATGTATTAAAGGTTGGGTGCTAACCTCATCTTGTGTAGGCCAATTCCAGTTTGGAGAGACTTGCTTTCTTTTGTGATGCAGCAAGTACAGGGTTTTGTTTTGTTTGTTTTGTTTTTCAGTCTTCACCCGAGGATATTTTTCCATGGCTTTTCAGAGAGAGTGGAAGTGGGGAGAGAGGGAGAGAAACTCTGAAGTGAGAGAGAAAGACATTGATTGGTTGCCTCCCGCACGCGCCCCCACTGGGGCCAGGGATCGAGCCTGCAACCGAGGTACGTGCCCTGGACTGGAATCCAGCCCGGGACCCTTTAGTCCGTGGGTGACGCTCTAAACACTGAGCCGAACCGTCTAGGGCAGGTACCGGGTTTTTCCTCCTTGTGCACCTTTGGAAGCTGTATCTCTGTCCTCCGGGGGAGCTGTGCTGAGCAATGGTGCTTATTGCCCTATTGCCCTGACCTGCCGTCCTGGGTAGAGAATGACTTTCTTTGACCGTGAATTGTACGTGTTTTCCGTAAGAAAAATCCTCTCCAGAGAATGCTGGGTCTCATTCCAAACCGAACACCACACAGTTCAACTAGTTGATGTATCATTAAATTCTTATAACCACCCTTTAAGGTAAATGTTATTATCTCCTTACAGATTGGGGGAGCCAAGCTCAAAAAAAACTAAACTTGCCCAAAGTTACATGTGGTAGAGGTGGGATTGGAACCCAGGTCTGTTTAATTATAACCTATTGTTCATCCCCTCCCATTAAAAATAACCTTTTGCGTTTAGTCTCTCCTCACTCAAATCCATACCATTGCTCACAAAGGGTTAATCTCCCGAAAAATACCACTTTCCTCTTGTCTCCCCCCACTCTCCTCAAATGCTTCTGAATCTGTTCTTGCATCTCACTAGCCTGAGTTCATTGCTCCTGGGATTAAAGGCCTCCTCTAAATGGGTTAAATCCTGCCTTTCCAGCTTCACCTCCTGCTGTCCCAGGGGAACCATGTTTTCTCAGCATAGTGCATCCTTCGGGCACACGTTGCATGTCTTTTGTTACTTTCATTCATTCATTTGTGCATCTCTTCTAAAGATAGTTCGTGACTCTTACTTTCTATGAGGCACAGTGCTGGATGCAGTGGCACAGAGATGAATGGGACAGCCCCCTGCCATCAGGGAGTGTATTTCCTGCCTTGCAGTCTAAGGGGTAGGCAGGACAACCCACTGTGGTAGCAATGATAATGCTAAAAATGAAATACGGGAGCAGCGGGGAAAATGTGCCCAGAATGTGGTGGGTCTGCGTAGAGCCGAGGTGTCTGACTTAGACCCAGGGGGATCACAGCAGGTGACAGAGAAGGAGTGATGGATATGTAGGCCAAGTCTTGAAGGATACGGGGGCTTGACCAAGTGCACAGGTGAGTGACAGGTACACCAGGAACAGAGATTAGTGTGTACGTTAGAGGCATGAGGGAGCAAAGAAATGGCAGAGTTTGGGACGGCTGAGGTGTGGGGTGCCCTGTGGATATGGGGAGCAGCAGAAGATGAGGCTGGAAGCCACGTTTCCATGCAGCTGAGTACTTTTTTTACCCACACCACCTTCCTACCCATCCTTGTAATTCTGTTGCCAGAGCTAAAAAGGATTTCCACCCTCCTCACTCTTATTTCCTGCACATTCATCATTTGGCACTTAGCACATGACGCTTCGTATTGCCTGATAGTTTGGATAGTAAGCAGCCACTCCACAGTTTAGGAAGAATCCTAGCTTTTACTGAAGACGTTTCGGGGGCTCCCCTTATTCTGTGTGTTCCCCTTGCCTGCCTGAAGTACAGGGATGAGATCTTCCACAACTAACCCTCTGTGCAGCACAGTGCTCTGCATGTGGCCAGTTTTCAGTAAATATTGGTGGATTGGCCTAACCGATTACAGATGCTTAGAAACTTGAAATGTTTATAATGTTATGCCAAATTCATATGTAGTATTTTAGAGAAGCTTTTTTTCTGTTTTTGTTTCTAGTTTTGTGGTTAATCTCACTAGCATCTTTTGGGTTGCAGAGGGCTCACGGCTCCTGATGCTGAAATGCTGTACATGCAGGAGGTGGAGAGAATGGAAGGCTATGGAGAAGAGAGCTACCCTGCGAAGGTACGTAGGATGCACAGGCTGGGGCTCTCCAAAATTAGCCTGTGATTCCCAGAGGATAGTGGGGAAGCCCGGGACGCCCTGCTGTGCAAAGGCTGAAGACGTGCAGGCTTCTGGACATGTAAAAATGAGGTCCTATGGCCAATATTATGTAGTTTTGCAGTTTGTTCTTTGAATGTTCTTGAAAGAGAGCTCCTTAAGGGGTCCATCTCTTCTTGTATTCACACATATCTACAAGGTGATGCATTCATAACTTTCAGACTTTTCCCCTTCAGAACGGCTATCCCATGAGTCTTCTGAACGTTTCATATTTGGGAAACAGGTTTAGGGAGTGAGGTGTAGTTGTAGTCCTTTGCACCTGCTGCCTGAGTGTCTCTTCTTCCTTTCAGGACAGCCAAGGCACTGACATCTCCATCGGAGCGTGTCTGGAGGGAATCTTTGTGAAACACAAGAATGGGAGGCCTCCTGTGATATTTCGGTATCTCTCTTACATCTTTCTGTGCATTTTCTGTGGCTCCTGTGGTGCTACTTTTTAGTCCCTATGCTAGTTATATTGCTCGTAAGTCTCTCCCAGGGTTTCATTAAGAAATGGAAATATGCCCTTCCTAGAATAAAATACCACCCAGTGGTTCTTTTAAGTAAGCCGCTTTCTTCAAAACCAGATGTTCAGAAAGTAGTGCTTATAATGTGGTCGACGTAGGGAATGCTTAACGATGCTCCCCTTTTCTTCCCATGCGGAGGCGTCCTTTGTTTTGATGTGAATTTTTCATTTGAGCTCTGGTTTCTAGGGCTATTTCATGTGGAAAATCTAGGGCTTTCTCTGACTCTAGTTAATGTACCAAAAACTCCTAAAATACCAACATCTAAGCAAATTTCAGTGATGTTTTGTAATGTCGATTTTTTTCCTGAATATAAAAAAGTGATACTATTCATTTGTGGAAATCTTAGAATGTATATAGTAAGAAATACAAAAAGGCTGTCTAGCAATGTGCTAATAGTGGCTAACTCTGAGCTATGAAATTGCAGGTGACTTAAATTTCCTTTTCAGTATTCTGTGTTCCAGTTTATATCGTAAAGGTAGTAAATTGGACCATGTCATTCAATCCCTTTTTATTCATTTTTAAAAAGAAAATATGTTTTTATTGATTTTAGAGAGGAAGGGAGAGGGGGAGAGAGACAGTCATTGATCGGCTGCCTCCTGCACGCCCCCTACCCGGGATCAAGCCTGGGACCCAGGCCTGTGCCTGGACTGGGAATGGAACTGGCAACCTTTTGGTGCCTGGGACAACTCTCAACCAACAGAGCCACACTGGCCAGGGCCCTTTTTGTTCCTTAAAATTCATAATCTAGAAAATCTGAAGTGTCATTTCATAGAAATATTTCCAGTGTTACTGAGATCCTTCCTATTTGATTCTGTCATCAGTTGATGACAAAGTAGAGGGATAAAAAGTGGTAACATCTTTGCTTCCAGATCCACTTTCCCTTTCATAAAATTATGCAGTTATTAATGAAATCAAACATCAGTATGTAAAATGTAACTATGGTAAAATGCAGTTAGGCGGTGCAAGGTGGGATCCTGAATGCTGGCGAACACCCCAGAATAGACCGGGTCACGCTCCGGATGCCTGGCTTTGAATCGCCCTCACCTGGAAGCTTCCCAGGCCCCTCCTCCCCCTTCGTCTTTCCTTACCCGTCGGCGACACTAACGGTGCTTGCGTGCTTCTGTGTTCTCTCTCTCCCCGCCACCCTCCAGCTGCGCCCCTGCTAGAGGAGATGCCTCACTGTGCCTCATCTTAGTGTCCCTGAGGTCTAACACGATTTCTGGCCCCGTTATAATGCGTGCCCTCTAAGGTGTTTGTTGAATGAAGAAAGGAGGCATTGGCAACCAGCCGAAATAGAGATCTTTGATCCAACTAATCTGGCAAATGAGGGTATATAGATTTTACAATGTGAAATACTCTTTGGCCTTTTTTAGTATACATGCATCTCGCTTTTTGCAACTAGGTGTTATCACTTCAATTAGAAAAATGCATGCTAATGGGTCAGAACAACCATTTCCTTTCTAAAATAGTTAACAAATATTAATTTATGCATCAAGCTCAAGAAGGGAAATCATATGTTCTATCTCCTGGAGTAAACGTGAGCACTCACCTTGCCGTTTTCTGTTTATTTTTCCTTAGGTGGCATGATATTGCTAACATGTCCCACAATAAGTCCTTCTTTGCATTAGAGCTGGCAAGTAAAGAGGAGACCATCCAGTTTCAAACTGTGAGTGAACATCAGGAATCGCTTGGAATGTTTTTCCTGAAAGTTAACAAGTTAGCATTTCTGTGCATATGTTTGGGGGGAGGGGGTGATATTAAAATTATAATATTTTACAGTTTAATAAAACATAAAATTTTATAACATTTTGCACCATAGTAGTTTTGTCATATTAGTACATTTGGCAAAAGTAGTTGCTTAGTAAATATTGTTGAATGAATGAGTCCTTGGATAAATACTATCTGATCATGATGGTCTTTAAGTTAAATTTAAGGGACTAAATAGGGGAGAAAGTGAGCACTAATATCTTAATTTCCACTGATAAGTGAATGGCTCTGTAGAAAGATTATTTCATAGTTATTTGCTTTGGCTCCCTTGACAAAGGCAGTATTGAGTCACTGAGTCAAATGTTTTGTTTAAAATGTCTTTGAGTTATCGATTTGTCCAAATGAAAATTGATATTTTCATAATTTTTAAATTTCTGTCATTTTGAAGCTGTTTAATACAAGAATCACACTGTTAAGAATAGATTTTTTTTTTTCTTCATAATTTAAATCCTAATCATGGCATCCCTATGAAGACATGGTATTAGAAAATGAAAGAATCCCAGTGTGTTAATTAAAAGTGACTTGACATGTTACCCAATTACGTCTTGTCCTCAAATGAACTCTATATTAAGTTGTAAATGTGCTTTCATTTATTTTATGCATATTTTGTTTGCCAGGAAGACATGGAAACAGCAAAATATGTGTGGAGGCTCTGTGTTGCGAGGCACAAATTTTACAGACTAAACCAGTGCAGCCTGTAAGTATATCCTGCTCATGAAAGTTGTAGAAAATGAGTTTAGAAATTTTCATCTTGAATTGTATCATCTAGAAAGGCAAATTTTATGAGAAATGATATTCTTAATGTCATTTTTATGATAAACTTTTCACTTTTGCATATTAAAATGATATTTCTCAATTTTTTATTATTACTTTGGCTTTGGACCAACTTCTAATAACTACAGACGTGTCTCTAAGATCTCTTAACTGTTTACTAGAATCATTCTAATTTTTGAAAGCTAGAAAGGGAATATCTTTTATATTTTTTAATCAGCATTTTGTGTCATTAAAGATCATTGCTTTGTCCTGACTGGCAGTTGGGTGTCATGACCAGGGAGATTCATTTAGCAGAGCCACCTAATGATTAGCACTTAGGCACCCCCATCCCCATTTCCTCCCTGCATCCCCTCCACACATTTAAAAAAAAAAAAAATGTTTTTATTGATTTTTAGACAGAGAGGAAGAGAGAGGGAGAGAGAGATAGAAACAATGACGGGCTGCCTCCTGCACGCCCCCTACTTGGGACAGAGCCTGAAACCCAGGCATGTGTCCTGACCAGGAATTGAACCAGTGAGCTCTTGGTACATGGGTCAATGCTCAACCAGTGAGCATCACCAGCCAGGCTTTACCTGTGTTTTTATCTGAGCCCTCCTGCTGCTCTGGTGAAGGGGTTTTGGAAAGCACTAACTTTTGGGGAGAAGCACCCCTGCTTCCTTGTGGATGTGGGGAGTCTCTGCTTGCTGCCTGGCTTGGACTTCTGGGTGCATTTATGGGTAGAAGTGTTCCCTGCTGGCTAGATTCAGGGGTGCTGCCAGTCCAGGAGAGTTGCATTTGGGGCTCCTCCAGGCTGGCCTGGTTACCCAGCCATGTGTAACATTATTTTTATGCATAAGTGTGCTCTGAGTCTCAGGGAGTAGATATGTAGTCTACTGGACCACAGCCCTTTCATAAGTATAAAGCCTCTCATAAGTTTAAGGCTATCCATGACCCATCATTACCTGAAGTTCATTCTTTTTCTGGAAAATAGTGGAGAACCAGTCATTTTGGATAAACCATAAATATAATCCCTTTCCACTGGGCATCCGTACTGGTTGGTGTTAGGTTTCATTGGGAGCACTTACTCCCCAGGTGAAGTAAATGAATTCTTAGCTTTTTGATAGGCAGTCAAATGGAAAATAACTTTAGTTTTTATGGTCATTTCTTTTAAGGCTCTCAACCTAGACCGAAGTATCGGTAGACTTGTTCTCATGGTCCAATTGGGTAAACTCAAGTGAGGTGGGCATTTAATGAGACTGCAGCAGGCCTGGCACTGGGCAGTGGGTTCTGGAGTCTAGTTCAGACTGAGGCCACTGGTGGCTCAGGAGATGGATTCTGTTTGCATAGAAAGGAGACTTCACTCCTTGCGTGTCCCCTTGCCCACCGCTCAGTCCTGATATGTAATGTGATGGTGTTTGGGATGGCCTTATGCGATTCATCTAACATTGACCCAAATGACTATTCTGTACTTTAGAATTTATAGAAGGACATGATCCATCATCAGTCTCGCCTCCTCTCTCCACTTTTAAACAAGGTACTTCAAGTAACAGAATCATCTATCTTATGTCACCCAAGTCTTAAAAATGTTAGATAACAACAATCTTTCTGTTTTTTAATTCATTTAACGAGGACAGTAGGACCTTAGTTAATATTCCTTTAGGATTGGATTAGGAATTAAATAAGATAATGTCAGTCTTTTGGGTCAATGATGTTTTCTAACCCCCTCTCCACCTCCCCAACCCCAGAACTGCTACAGTCAGCCTCTGGGATTTATATGAGGAAAAGCCGAGGGGTGGGTGGGGTGGATCTTGAGATGGTTCTTTGTTTAGGAGGCTGTTCTCCTCCCTCTCTGTGGAGGGGAGGAGAGGTTGGTATCCCCCAACCTCTAAAGCCAAGTGCTAGAAGCTTCAACAGACTTTCTCTAGAGGGGAGGTTGGATTTCAGCCACCAGCAAGCTGCTTGCCGAGCACATTGAGAGGGTGGGTGTGTGTTCCCTGCAGTTTAGGGCTGTTGGTGAACACAGCAGCCATGCCCACCTGTGTTCTGGCGACCTGGGACTGACTGGAGAGGCCCTGCCTGGGGGAGGGGAGAGGGTTGCCCCACCTTTGCTGGGCCTACTGCAGGGTTTGAAGACACTATGAGAGGCCTGGAAGAAGGTAGAGTAACCCCTAGTCCATTCGAGGAAGGTCATAGAGAGTAACTTGCTAGGTATTTCCACCATCCAGCACATTTTTTGTTCTTCAAAATCTCATTCCTCTGCATTAGCCATAAACCTATAAGAAAGAAGCTTGCAAAGCAAAACCCAGACAACTCTTAGAAATACAAGCGCAGCCGTCCATGCTTACTAGCGACCAGCATCACTTTACCCCTCGCTCACTGTGCCATTTGTTCAGCGAACATCGAGGGCTTCCAGGCACCTGCGACACCATGGGGGGTGCTGCTGCCCCCCTGGAGCTTTCTGATCGGGGTGGGGAGAGGGGGTCAGACAGGTAATCAGTTGTCAGGAGGCTGCTCAGGGAGCTGACAGACCTGCCTCGTTCAAATGCCGGTTCTGCTACTTGCTTTCCACGTGACCAGGAGTAACTCACTTAATCTGAGTATCAGTTTCTCCGTCCGTGAAATCAGGGTGCTAACCGTCCTCGCTCGCGGGGCTGGTTTGGGTCCCTGCGTTGGTCCCCTGAGGTCGTCAGCGCGGTGTCAGCAGGTTCTGTCATTTACTTCACTCAGGCCGCAGCCTTTCTGGTTCTGACTTCTCCATTGCACGCATTCCAGTGATGTTTCCCCCTAGGAGTTCTTCCCCTGTCGCATTTTATCAGCACCATCAGCATTGTAAACTGCCCGTAAAGTCTGGAAAACAGCCTCTTGTCTGCTGAGTGTAGGAGAGCCGACCTCACGGGAAATGCACTGACAAGAACATTGGCAAGAAGAGGGGGTTAGAGCATTAGAAGGGGGGGCGAGGCGGACTCTCAAGCAGTTTGGCAGGAGGAAGAGGCACTAGCTTGTGTGTGTCCAGCAGGAGCAGCCTCCGCAGCGGGCTGCCAGCCGGGGTGCCAAAGTAGATAGGGCGTGGGGAGTTGCTGCCTGTGTCCTGAGCTCCCTTGGATTTTGTGTTTAACACACTCAAGTTGATTTTTGCTGCAGGCTGGGCAACTCTGGACACGTCGTAGGAGGGTTCTATCAGCAGTCCTTTCTCCTGTGCCTGACTTTCAAATTTATAGTACTTTGAAGTTCAGTCCATTTCAGTGAGCCTCTGGACTGAATATAAACACCATTTTGCATACACCCAGCCCTGACAGCGGAGAATGAACGAAGGCAAAGTGAATTTCAAGGCCTCAAATGCAGTGTCTTCAAATTTTGGACACAGATTTTAGGAGTATATTAACATGCAGTTAAGGACTATTAAAAAAAAAAAAAAAAAGCCCAGATACCCCCTCCTGACTTGTTTCTCTAAGGAGGCCTCCCTCTTTACCAGTGTGTATGATATTTTACCAGTTGATACAGGTATTTCTGAGCCTAACGGAAGTCGCATCCACTTTATTGTTGAGTAACATAAATGCTGGCTGCATGGAGCATCCTTTGGAAAGGAGACATCTGTTCATCAATGGGCTTATTACATTCCAAAGAGGATGAAAGGAAATTATTTAAAAAGCATTTAATTTAAAAAACTCATCTAGTCAAAGCAGTTGTGGTCACCTAATGTTAAGCTAATGCACAGGGTTTGAATATGATAGTAGTTGTTAGAGGGCTAGTAATGTTGATTTATGAGACGTGAGGCTTGATGTTATGGGACATGTGCTGATTAAGTGGAGTGAGTGCTCACTGTGTGATTGTGGATTTTTAGTCATTAGTCCTTAGAGCACTGTGACAAAGGTCACAGCATATTTCTGTAATCAGTAATTACTTGCCACATAAGCTCATGAGCCAGGAAGGGACAGTGAAAGGTTTTTATAAAAGTGCTTTGACAAAATTAGGTATATCATCAACAAAGCCAAGAATCCTTCGTGTTTAGGTTCCTAGGTCTTACTTTCGACAAAACTGACTACACGAAAACAAAAAATGCCTGCCTCTGTTTCAAAATGATGGAATTACAAATGGGCTTCTGTTTCCTGTTCCTTTGTGACCTAATTTTATTCAGAGGTGGAACTTGTTGTGACTAGTTTAAACTCTCAGATTATCTGATAAATGTCAGTCAACCCTCCTTAATATTCTCATTGCTTTTTAAAAAGTGCATTTAAAACCATAGGAAGTTTCTTGAAAGAAAGTTAAATGGGTTTACCACAGGCCCACTAAACCAATTTTCCTACTTTTTTGCTTTCCGTAACTTATTTCCTTAGAACAAATACAGATTCTTAAGTTACCAAAGTTATATATTTATCTCTTCATTATGTTTTTAGTATGTGGTTAACAGACTTTTAATTGAGGGTAGTTCCTGTTGCTTCCAGCTTTTGGGCTGGCAGCCGATGACCACCCCTCAGCCTGTTAATGGGGGTGGTCAGTGCTGAGCCAGGCCCACCCGAGCGATGCGTTTGCACGGAGTCTTGCTCCCCCTGGGATGAATTTGTGGGTGGCCCAGTCTCGCCTCTTTCCCCCTCTGCTTATGGTCACTCCAGTGGCTTTTCCTGGATGGACCAGGGGCAGTTCCTCCTGCAGGCCCCTCTGGTAGTCCAGGCAGATGGTGCTTCATGAGGAGGCTCAACCCATGGCGTGGTTCGAGGGATCTGGGCAGCAGGAAGGGGCCAAGGCCCCACGGAGGGACAGAGACTCACCTTCCTTGTCTTAGATTTATGATTAGATTACTTTGTCTTTTTGCATTGGAACTTTTACCATTTTACCTTCTTACTAACTTATTCTGTTATAATTAGGAAAATTATGTGTATGTGTGTGAGAGAGTATGTGTATACACACACACACATACACACACACACACACACACAGACATACAGTGTTACCTCGGTTTTCGAACATCTCCATGGATGAACATTCGGTTTACGAATACTGTAAACCTGGAAGGAAATGCTTTGGTTTTCGAACCCGCCTCGGGAGTCGAACATGCCGCCCGGCTTCCGCTGAGGGCAAGACCCCAAGGCCCAGCTGTGGGCTGTGGATCCCTCGGTTTTCAAATGTTTCAGATCTTGATCGGGCTTCCAGAACGGAGTACATTAGAAAACCGAGGCACCCCTGTGTATATACACACTCATCTCAAAGACGTGTCTTATTTTATAGGCAGACTCCCGCCGTCACGGTGAACCTGATTAGGAGGCGGTCGTCTTCCAGGATGACTCTGGTAAGGCAGAAGGAAAGCCAGGTCGCCGTTTTTCTTTTAGTGATGTCACATTCCTTAATAAAATAGGCGATGGCAGTGTTCATTTTTAGTTTGAACCACAAAAGTGTGTCGCTATTTGACTGTTTTTGACCAAAGAAGTGGTGATTTTTCCATTGGTTAAGCCCAATGTTGATATAATATTTATTATATTATATTACATGTATTTAAATATTAGATCCCACCTAATACTTAAAATTCTATTAACCAAGAGTAATCAGAAGTTAGTAGATATTTAAAATACTGGACAATTTTGCCTAACAAGATTAAATATACTTCATATAAGCTTCTTATATTCAAGTGGTTATGTAAGAATCCAGGAAATTTTTGTCTTTTCCTCCTTGCTCCTAACTTGTTGGGTACAGCACGTTTCCTTGTGCCCTGTGATGCCTGACATCAGTGCATGGCCTTGGCATTGCCACTCTGAGAAACAGAGTGGCAGCTACAGTAAGAGCTACAGGGTCTTTATGTTTGCTTTCCATGTATAATGTTTGTGACTCCTTTAGAAGGTTTTTAGTGGTGAGAAAGAAGCCAGCAGAAAATGACTTTACATGTTACAGAGGCCATGTGTTTTAACCCTGCCTCCAACTTGCCATTTCTCAGCCTAAACCCCAGCCCTACGTGATGCCTCCCCCACCCCAGCTGCATTATAATGGACACTACACAGAACCCTACTCTTCTCAAGGTAAGGGACACTGTTTCTCAGACGCCTTCCAACGTGGTTACAAGGCAAATAAATCATGACGATTTGGAAATCTTGAAGCCAGTACAGTAGTCCTCCCTTGCCCACGGGCATATGTTCCAGGACCCCCAGTAGATGCCTGAAACCATGGAGGTAGCCCCTGCTACTGATGAAAGCTGGGCATGCCTACCCCACCTGCCTATCCCTCAAGGCCCCTCCAGTGCCATAGCTTCTCTAAGGCGGTGCTTGGTCATCTTTTCTCTGTCCCCATCAACTCAGCCCTTTTATTTGACTGGATTCCAGTCATTTTCCCCCATCAGTTCTTAGCAAAGTATTTTACGCATACGGGCTCACAAATGGGTGGTGTGTGCGGTGGACAGAGGAGCCTGGAGGCTGGGAGAGCCAGTGGGTGGGGTGTGCTAGTCCAGACAGGCTGCAGTGAGGGCCTGAGCTGTGCTGGCAGTGAGAAAAGGGGGTGCTCCTGACTCAGAGACCACATGTGTCCCAGATACAGGAAGAGTCCAGGGGCAGGAAGCATCGTGCCCCAGCAGTGCGAGCACAGTGATGCATGAGTCCTGCTGCTTTGTGGCTGTGTGTCACCAGCACGAAGTCCAGACACCAGACCGTGGTGTGTTCACTTTATAATCAGCTGTTACTGGAACGGTCATGGGGCTTTTGAATCACAGAAAGAACACTTTTCAAAGGCCCTTCTCTGAAGGCCTTGGCTGCTGCTTTTCCTGAGTGTTAGAGATCAGCCTTGTTAGTGTTTCAGGTGAACTGCAGATGGGCTGGAGGAAACGTGCCTATTCCCAGCCCCAGACAGGTACATGCACATGTAGCCACTGTCAGTTAGATTAAGCTCCTGATTCTGAGCTGTGGCTCCCAGGTTTACTGAAGCTTGGGAGCTGGAGCACGGGCCCATGTGGCTATCTTACTATGGTTCTTCTTGGCTTCTGGACCCCTAATGAGGTATTCGGCTATTGGTGACACTGTTGGACCTGGAGAAGCTCAGATTCTGATGAACTATTGCCCTTTTATGTTCATTCTGGAAGCACCTATACAAACAAGCTGCAGTTCCATTTAAGGATGTGCTTACAGTTGGTGCTTGAAACTAGCTCCACATCAGCAGGCACATCTCCACCAGGGGGCGAAAGCAGAGTCCGTGGCCCTCTGCCTACAGCTCCCCTGAGTTCCAGGAAGTCTGTTTCATCTCTATTAAAACACATGTTTTTGACTTTCAGAAATAGACAGTGTGTGTGTGTGTGTTTAATCTGCTTTTATTGATTTTAGAGAGAGAGGCAGGGAGAGGGAGAAAGAGATAGAAACAATAATGCTTCAACATCAGTTGGCTGCCTCCTGCACATCCCCCTCTGGGGATCTAGCCTGCAACCCCGGCTTGTGCCCTGACTGGGAATCAAACTGGTGACCTTTTGGTGCACGAGGCCGATGCTCAACCACTGAGCAAAAAACAATGTTTTATGACTCAATTGCACTCTTAATATTGGACTTAGAAAGGGTTAATCTTTATTGGGTGTCAAGTCCTGAACGCCATCCCCAGAGTCGGCAGGACCATCCCCATCCTATAGACAAGGACACTGAGGCTCCAGGAAGTGACCTGCCCAGGGTCACTCAGCAGGTGTGGGAAAGTCAGGTCATTTTAGCACCGATTTTCAAAAACTACGTCATCGACATTCGTGACCTCTCTTAATATTTGTCCCTTTTTAAGATCTCATTTTAAAATGTATTTTAAATGTCGTTCCCCCAGATAACCTCTTTGTGACCAACCAGAATGGATACTATTGTCACTCTCAAACAAGTCTGGATCGAGCCCAGCTCGACCTCAACGGTCGCATCCGGAACGGCAGTGTCTACAGTGCCCACAGCACGAACTCCTTAAATAACCCTCAGCCCTACCTGCAGCCCTCCCCCATGTCCTCCAACCCCAGCATTACTGGGAGCGACGTCATGAGACCCGACTACATCCCCTCACACCGGCACAGTGCACTGATACCCCCGTCCTACCGCCCGACCCCAGATTATGAGACTGTGATGAAGCAGCTCAACAGAGGAATGGTACACGCGGAGAGGCAGAGCCACTCGCTGAGAAACCTCAACATTGGCAACTCGTACGCGTACAGCAGGCCCGACGCGCTGGTCTACAGCCAGCCCGAGATCCGGGAGCACGCCCACTTCACCTCTCCCCAGTCGGCCCACTACCCCTTCAATCTGAATTACAGTTTCCACAGCCAGTCCCCTTACCCCTACCCCACAGAGAGGCGGCCCGTGGTGGGCGCCGTGAGCGTGCCCGAGCTGACCAACGTGCAGCTCCAGGCCCAGGACTACCCGGCTCCAAACATCATGAGGACTCAGGTGTACCGGCCGCCCCCGCCCTACCCGTACCCCAGGCCCGCCAACAGCACCCCGGACCTGTCCCGCCACCTCTACATCAGCAGCAGCAACCCGGATCTCATCACCAGGCGGGTGCATCACTCGGTGCAGACGTTCCAGGAGGACAGCTTGCCGGTGGCCCACTCCCTGCAGGAGGTCAGCGAGCCGCTCACCGCGGCCCGGCACTCGCACCTGCAGAAGAGGAACAGCATCGAGATCGCGGGGCTCACCCACGGCTTTGAAGGCATGAGGCTCAAGGAGAGGACCATGTCGGCCTCGGCCGCCGACGTGGCCCCGAGGGCCGGCTCCGCGGGCTCCCAGCCCAGTGTTCTCACCGAGAGGACAAAACGGGGCGAGGCGGCCGAGCAGGAAGGCCTGAGATATGGCCACAACAAATCTCTCTCAGACGCCACCATGCTGATCCACAGCAGCGAGGAGGAGGAGGAGTTCGAGGAGGAGAGCAGGGCACAGGCTGTGCTGTCCCCACGGGCACGGGAGCCCCGGGGCGGTTACTCCCAGGAGCCGCAGGCGGGCTACTCCTGCACCCCGGCGGCTGCAGGCGTGGGCCCTCTGCACATCCTGGAGCCCAAGTCCCACGTCACAGAGGCCGAGAGGCGGGGGCGGGAGGGCAGCCCCGTGCATGTGCTGGCGGAGGCCCAGCGGCCCAGGAGGGATGGGCTGCTGACGCCCTCCATGTCGGAGTCTGACCTCACCACGTCGGGGAGGTACCGGGCCCGGAGGGATTCTCTGAAGAAGAGGCCGGTGTCCGACCTGCTCTCGGGAAAGAAGAACATTGTTGAAGGACTTCCGCCGCTAGGGGTAAGCCTCCTGTGTGCGGGTGTGCAGGGAGGTGTGCAGGGGTGTGCAGGTGAGCCTCAGCCAGCCCTGCACAGCTCCCTTTCAGCCAGAGGTTTTTCAGCACCTTCTCTGCTCCGGGAGTCTTGTCTCTGACTCAGTACTTCTGACGTTTTCCAGCTCTTTTTCTTTTAACTTTTTAAATCACACACCTCCTCCCACTTTACTGTATTTTTGTCTTATTTGGATTATATTTGAGTTTGATTACCTGTGGAAGTAATAGAGATTAATTAGATTTTAGTGGTTTTTCTACAAGTAATTAGGTAAAATGAAGATGTCATTGTTGGAAGCTCTGTAGAAGGGAGTAGAGAGACTGAATGAAATGTCTCAGCAATGCAGTCTGAATGAAAAGGAAGCTAAGGCTTCGGGACTTGAGCCCACATTGCTTTGTTAGCTGCCTAGTAACAGTCCCTAGGGCTGGTGCAGCAGCCCAGGGCTGCATTTGTTGGGTTTGCTGGTTTGCTTGTGGGCTGAGAGCAGCATCCATGGAATGTTCCTAACGCATCTGTATGTTGGACGTGTGGACAGCTTCAGATGTTCCCTGAGGGTTAGAGTGTGACCCTGGAGTTGGGAAGGAGGTACTTTGTCAAGAAAGCTCCAGGTCTCTTTGAAAGAAAGATGAAATGAATTGAGAACCCAAGGGAGGTCCCTTGTAGAAAACACAGCTCTTTAATAGTATAATAAATAACCATGAACTAATTAAGCACGTCTGGCCGATTGGAAGCAGAATATGAAAGAGCATAACATCGTCTCTAGCTGCCTCTCCAGAGCGTTTACCGTGTGCCCGGCGTGCTGTCTGCCTCACCGAGTCCAGTTTACAACAGGCCTGTTGTTCCTGCAGAAGAGGAAGTAGACTCTGAGATATTAAGTAACTTTCCCAAGGTCACACAGCTAGCAAGGGACCAAACTGGAATTTTAAACCCGTGTTTATCTCTGCAACCTGCTCTCTTATCTGCCACACTGTTCTCCGTCGAGTTATATTGTATATAACATTTTGTTACGCAGTAATTGCTTATCTAAGCTTTGCTGTTCTGTCTCTCCACTGAAACCTTTTAACTTTGAGCCTCCGAGCCTTTGTGGCCCTGTCATGTCAGCGCGTCCACTCTAAGTCATCTTGCTGCGTTTGCCCAGGCTCCCAGCTCCCCGTCGCCCATGCCTCCACTCCCCATGCCTGCACTCCGCAGCCTAAAGCGACTAATGTCCTGTCCACTCTGTCTCCCAACTACTCCCAGTGTCCTGGCAGCCAGGACTCCTCATTTCTGCTAGACTGCAAACTCAGCCTTGAGGGCCCGTCGCAAGGGTGGTTCTCGCAAGTGTGGCTGTATTTTAGATCCTCTGAGATGCCGTAAACATCTTCATAAATAGGAAAACAGTTCACACAGTTTTATTGTGCTTATGAAATAGATGAGTATCCATAAACTAAAACTGCTTGTAATAGTGCTACGGATTTAAATGTATTTTCTTTTAATGAATTTTGCCTTTGAATTTTAAGTTTACTTTTAAAGTTTTTTTTGTGGTGGAAGAGTACATCCTTACTCACCTACCTGCACAGTAAAGGCCAGTGTCCCAGTTTGGCTGAAGGTGTGGGCTTATAGTCAGTGGCTCACGGTGGGACAGAGTATGGGCATGTTGTCCAGAGTAACTCTGCTGGGGCCCCTGAGCCAGCTGGACAGGCCCTTTCGTAGTTAATACTCTCCCCTAATTACGTCAAGAACTGTCCATCACTTTTATGTGACCCAAGTCTTTTCCCCAGATGATACTTGTTTTGAGTATGGTCCAGTATTTAAGCCTCTTGTCTCTCTGCATTTTTAATGGGCCTCGCAAGTTCTGCTAAATCTGAGGTCTTTGATCCATTTGGTCTCTAAAAACACAGATTTCCTCCCTCCTTGACTTTTAAGACCTACAGTATTAATAAAACTATGTGATTGGCTTGTGCTTGTGTTCCCCTCCTTTCTCCATAAAGGATTCTCTGTACTTGAAGAATGTGCCTGGGAGCTGTAGCCAGGGGCAAGGCACACCACCCGAGAGTGGAAAAACTGGGTCCGAGCCTAGACCCCTTTTGTTTATTAGTTCCCTGCACAGTGGGCCAGACCCTCATTCACCAGAACCTCAGCCTCCTGTTTACCACACAGGGACAGTCATCTCTGCTCTGCCTGCTCTGGCTTTAAGTCTTCCATAAGGAGAGGCATGGAAATGCTTCTGAGTTGTGTGATGCAGCATAACTGATTTTAATGAAAGTAGTTTTTATTGTTTTGACACTGATTACCACCTATATATATAAAGAGGCAGCTAGGTGACCTCGGGCAAGCCATTTAATCCCTTTGACTCGGTTTTCTCCTTTGTCAAGGAAGATGACCCCAGAGAGTTGTTGGGGGATAAGGCGAGGTCCTGGCATATAGAAAGTGCTCAGATTTAACCTATTCCTGTGATGTTGCATCATACATTTAACTTACTGACATCCCAAGAATTGAAGAGCTCATCCCTGTTGCCATTATATTGTTTAACTGTTACAACAAAGAAACTCAGCTCTCGAACCAATGCGAATTGAGATTATAGAGGTTTAGGATTAGAAACAGTGAAATAAATTGCAGACAAGCAGGAACATTTTAGGGTTCCCCACCCATCTCCACCTGCAGGGACTTGATTACTATCTGAGACAGGTGGAGTGGTTTGAGCGCTCACGCAGCTACGAAAAGGTTTTCTTTTTTTCGTATCCTTGGTATTGAATGGTGGTTCTCACGTAAGAAATCACTGTGCAGGTTGTGCATTTAAAACCACGTGCTTATACCCTAAGGGCTAAGTAAGGGGTATTTGAGGCTGCTCTTGACTCTATGCCCCTTTCTTCAAACACTGGCCTTAGAACTGACAAACCTTCCTCCAGCATATCCGGGCTGGGGCATTTTGAGCCACCCCATCAGGGCTGGTGAGAACTGACCGTTAAATCTTTAGGATTCTTGCGATTCAGTTGATGTTACATTGGCAGTTTGAAATTGGCCATCGTGGGATTATTTACACCATGGAAATTAGCAAGCTACAAATCAGAACCTCCCCACCAGAGAGCCAGTTGTTAAACATGTCTCAGCATGCCACTGTTTTTTGCAAATGTTAGAATCATGAAATTTTCATCTACATGGGAACCTTTCACTCTCCCTCTCTTCCTCTGTTCTTGTCTCCCTACCCCTTCCACCCTCCCAGGCTGGCAGAGCTGGTTTCATTTATGAGACAGAACTGAGAAAACCATCTCTTTTAAAATTAAGGCTTCATTGTTATAATCGTTATGGCTCCCAAGGAGGTGTAGAATTCCTAGGGAAACAGCATTCTTAGGCTTATTTGCCTTAGAGAAGGAAATCATGGGCTTTGATAGTAAGTTTTGGAACGCTGTTCTTAGGGGACAGCTTCTGATGGTGTGCTCCCTTATGCCTGATCTTCCTGGTGTCATGGAGACTGCAGCCCTGTGTGCTTTTCCTGGCTTAATAACTTGGCAGTTCTGAGACGTGGGGCGATCCAACCCAGGTCACACAAGTCTGAAACACAATGCAGAACAGAGCGGAGAGAGCTGCCCCATTAAACATTCCTTTTTTCCCCCCAGAATGATTTAAACAACTAATTTACATTTTTAAAAAATCACCAAAGCTTATGGCAGTTGGGCGATTGCATTTGAAACGCTTTCCATGGACAGCAGCTGGTTTTATGGTGTGCCATGTTTTGAAATTGGGGAGTTCTATGTAGGAATGCTGTCTGCCTGGAGCCTCACCTCTCATTGCCACAGAACCCTGAAACCAGCCGCATTTCAAAACTCTCTATCTGGAAGACTTATCAGGGCTTTGGCCTTGAAAGGAATGTCCTCATGTTTGTTAAGCAACCGTGTGCGTGCGTGTGTGAGGGACCGTGACTTCTCTGTTTCCAGTCTTCAGTCCATTTCTGAAAATTTCTCTTCACAGGGGTTGGATTTGTGTATATTTCATATATACATATAACTATTTTTATAGGGGATGAAAAAGAGCCGAGTAGATGCAAAAAAAATCGGTCCTCTCAAGCTGGCTGCCCTGAATGGACTCTCCCTGTCTCGCCTGCCTCTGCCCGATGAAGGGAAGGAAGTCTCTGCCAGAGCCACCAATGACGAGAGGGTACGTAAGGGATGTGGGCTGCGTCCCCTCGCTGGGGTAGCTGGTGAAGTGCTGCAGAACCGCCTCCTGAGATTTCAGTGAGTTTTCTAGCACATTTAGTAACCATAAGTGAGTGTGAAGGAATTTTGTAATCTGGATCTCAAAATTGGGGCACATTTATAGCTAATGTCTCGATAGATAATTTCAGGCTAGAATGTTCTTTTTTTCTTTTTTCTGAATGTTATTCTTTACCTTCCAGTCATCTGTGGCAGTCTTGATTTTTGATGGCTTTAAAGTTAGAGAGGAAATCTGCAAATGCATCTGAGTACACACAAGAAAGACAGCAGACGTTGACTGTCATTTTACTGAGAATTTATCTCAATAGTAAACAATTACTGAATTTTTCAAAATTTCTTTTGCATTTAATTTGCTTACCATTGGATCCTGGAGATGGCTTCCAATATTTACTACTGTTTTCAGTGTTTTATATAATTATATAAGATTGAAGCATTAGTTCATAGATGTTGGCATCAGTTATCCAATGCTAGGATTTACTATCCTCCAGGAGAATTTTTGGTTTCATAGGGGTCATAAAACTGACTGTAAATTGGAGAAAATGAATTCAACAAATTGCTTTAGGCCATTTTTCACCTTTAAATGGAACATTGCCTTTATTTCTCACCAATTAAGATTATTTCATTTGTTATTGTTATGACTTGGTAACAATTTAACTGGTTTTTACCTAGAATTTTCAATATTACACAATGCTAGACTTGAAACAAAGGATTTCAAATGTACAATCAACGTGCCTCTGTGTTAGGTGACTGTGTTCATATTGTCCCATGTATCCTGTTTTACAGTGTAAAATTCTGGAACAGAGGTTGGAACAGGGAATGGTGTTCACAGAATATGAAAGAATCCTTAAAAAACGGCTAGTTGATGGAGAGTGCTCAACGGCACGACTCCCCGAAAATGCAGAAAGAAACCGATTCCAAGATGTGCTTCCCTATGATGATGCCAGAGTGGAGTTGGTCCCAACCAAAGAGAACAACACGGGTTACATCAACGCGTCCCATATTAAGGTGAGGAGCATTTAGATTCTAGAATAATAAACAGGATGTGAAGTTTCGGTTTTTTAAATAAACATATCTTTATTGATTTCAGAGAGAGGAAGGGAGAGGGCGAGAGAGAGAGAAACATCAATGATGAGAGAGTCATTGATTGGCTGCCTCCTGCACGCCCCTCACTGGGGATCGAACCCTCAGCCTGTGCTTGTGCCCCAACCAGGAATTGAACTGTGATCTCCTGGATCGTAGGTCAATGCTCAACTGCTGGGCCACACCAGCCAGGCAGGATGTAGAGTTATGAGTTAAATCACTTTTTAGTATTACTACAAACAAATGTATATACATGCCTATATACATATGTGTCCTATGCACACACACACATTCATTTTTTTAACCCTTTCTTATCTCAGGTCTCCGTCAGTGGGATTGAATGGGATTATATCGCCACACAGGGCCCCTTGCAGAACACCTGCCAGGACTTTTGGCAGATGGTGTGGGAACAGGGAATTGCCATTATAGCAATGGTGACAGCGGAGGAGGTAAGTGCTCGTTTCTCTCATCAGTTTTTCTCAGCCTCAGATGAAACGTTAATGCTGATCATGTGGGATCCCGACCTTTAGAGAAAGAGGCAGGTCGGGAGAGTGATTCTGAATCTCAGTTGTGCTGTCTGTGTGAAGGGGCATGTATTGCTGGATCCCGCGTTGTGTTTTGACTGTCTGTGGACTTGTCTTTAACAGGAGGGCGGAAGGGAGAAGAGCTTTAGGTACTGGCCACGCCTTGGTTCCAGGCACAACACTGTCACCTATGGAAGGTTTAAGATCACAACGCGGTTCCGCACAGACTCAGGCTGCTACGCCACCACTGGCCTGAAGATGAAGCACCTGCTTACGGGGCAGGAGAGGACTGTCTGGCACCTGCAGTACACCGACTGGCCGGAGCATGGCTGTCCGGAGGACCTCAAGGGGTTTTTGTGTAAGTGTCCCCCTTCCCAGCACAGCCTCTGCTGGAGCTCTTAAGTCAGCCACAGAGCGGAAGTCTTAATGCACCTGAAATAGCTCCTTTATGTTGTCTCCTATAAATTCTGGACTTGCTTTAAAATTAAGATTTTAAGTGTTTAGGGGCGGCTTAGCAGAAGTTTTTAAAGTATAACTTGGTAGCTAGTAAAATGCTGTAAGTGAGTTTTAGGAAGTTTTTCCTCCATTTCATTTTGGAGATGAGAAATTGGGAGCCCAGACAGAGTCCAGGACTCACTGAGACCACACTGTCAGGTGGTTGGGCTCGGTTAGCTGGCACCCAGTGCTCTTTGTCCAGAGTCCTCCCCACAGTGGAGATAATCTGAGAACTGTGGATGTGATATGCCTTAAGCCCTGAGTGTTTTTCTATTTTGTTGATGCTTCACAGCATACCTAGAAGAGATCCAGTCTGTTCGACGCCACACAAATAGTACAAGTGAACCCAAGAGCCCCAACCCCCCGCTGTTGGTCCACTGCAGTGCCGGCGTGGGAAGGACCGGCGTGGTCATTCTGTCGGAGATCATGATTGCCTGTCTGGAACACAATGAGGTGCCTGTTTCCTTTTTCTGGTTCGGGAAGAGGTGGGCTGGGCACAAGCCTGGGAGGAGGGGGACCTAGTGATCTAGCAGCTCTTTCTGAACAAACCTCCTTGAGGTTTTTTTCCCCTTTTCCCACAAGTAGGATTTTTTTATTTGTCACTACTAAAAGTCTGAATTTTAACTTTGGACTGAGGGCTCATATCCATCAGCTTCTTCAGCTTTAGCACCTGTCTCATCCCAGTAGCTTTTCTAGAACTGCTGCCTTCACTGTGAAGCTCCATGAGGTTTCCCAGTTCAACTTGGGCTTCTTGCATTGTGACTTTTCTCACAAGGACATCATGGAGCCGATGGATTGATTGGCAAGGCTGTTCTATGTCTTTCCCAGTGCTACCTGGAATCCGTTTATTAATCACTTCTTTCAAGTCACTTGTCTGCACCTCTCTCGGGCCATGATTTCCACCGTCTTCTTCAGGATTTGGTGGACCTGTTGATGCTGAGCATAAGAGGTCTTCTGAATCTGATTGCTGCATTTTTTAGTAAAACCAACACAGAGTAGATGAAGCAAATAACCACTGGTCGTCTCGACATCAACATGAGCTTCAGTCAGGGACTGCCATTTTTTGACCACGGAGCACATTTTGTCTCCATGGCAAGATCCATGCCATGGAAATTAGGCAGTTTTTGTCCTGAACATCTTCAGTAATTAGCTTGACTTTTCTAAGTGCATCTTCGTGGTTCTGCAGATCAGCTAGGCTCACTTCAAAAACAAGACCCTTGAGACCATCAGGTTCGATTTTGGTTCCTTGAGTTCCCGTGACTAGTGTTTTTCCAGTATTTCTTATGTCGATGTAGCTGGTGCTTTCCTATCACACAGTCTTCCTTAGAAAATGGATCAGCCACTTTCTTCTTGGCTCCCTTCTTGCCGACCGCCATGGTGCTGCTCAGAGAGCTGCAAGGTCCTCGGGTTTTTTTGGTATTTTGTTAAATAGGAGATGCCAAGGTAGATGAGATAGGAGGTGGTCCGTCTCCTAACCAGGTCTGTGACAGGACTGCAGCTCCCCGCCCCCTTTCTCTCTCTGGGGGAGCCCATTCCGCTCACCGCTGCTTCTCCCAATGCAGGTGCTAGACATCCCGAGGGTGCTGGACAAGCTGAGGCAGCAGAGAATGATGCTGGTGCAGACCCTGATCCAGTACACGTTTGTGTACAGAGTGCTCATCCAGTTCCTGAAGAGCTCCAGGCTCATATAGGCTCCCGCCGCTGCTGGAGGGCCCGGACCGTGCGAAGCGTTTACAGTAAGGGCAGGGCCTGCCTGCCTCACTTTCCCCTCGACAGTGTCCGCGCAGAAGGCGTGCTCATCGGGAAGAAGGGCGGGTGGGGGCCGGTGCTGAGGGCGCGTGAAGGCTGCGGGACCCTCACCTGGACGGCGCCCGAGGAGGAGGACTGGTGCCGAGGGCGTGGCCTGCCCCGCTCTGTCCCATCTGCAGCACTTGCACACATTCTGGAGACTGTGTTTTCTAGACAATTCTGTATTTTACTGAAGCTCTGCTGGGCAACTCTGGCAATCATTAACGCGCATAGATTTCTATCTTAAATGAGGATTTTGCTAATGGCATTTTATTTCATGACTAAAATATTTGGGGTTTTCTTGTTGAGAAACGGAACTTCCTGTGGGGATAATCCACAGATATGAGTGGTTCCTCTGTAACTTTGTATTTAAAACCATGTTATTATCTTTTGATATTTTTTAAAAAACCTTGGGTACTTCACAGTTTAGTAACCAAATCCAGACTACAAGAAGGGTCTAAAAGTGTTATTTTGAAGCATTTAGAGAGGATTTTTATATTCAGAACATTTTTTATCCTGAAAGTTCTATAGATTGGTGCCTTCTGCATTTCCCAGACGAGAGTTGGGGCCCTCGGTGCGGAGGCTGGGCGTGGAGGCGCGTTATTTAAAGGCAGGGAGTCCGAGTCACTGGTTCCAGTGTTATTCGCAGGCCTAAGCGAGTGTGTTTTGGTGAAGCAGGAAGGCTGAGTTCCGGAGCGCGCTGCTGTGCGGCGAGCCGCTGACGGAGCGGCGGCAGCCGCTGAGGAGGTGCTGGAGGAGGTCGGGGTAAGGGTACGTAGGGTGGCGAGGCGCGGGGACATCAGCGTAAGCGCAGGGTGGCACATGCAAGACGCCTTTGGTTTTACAAAAATGCAGTGTTATCTGTCCTCAGTCAGAGAAGCTGGGATGGAGCGTGGGGTTGACCCCCCCGAGGTAGGTGCCCCCAGGAAAGTCAAGGCCTGTCAGTGTCAGAGACTCCGCTTCTCTTGGAGTTCTTGCACCTAAACCTCTGTTCTTGAACAGATAAAATCAAGCTTATATTATCATGAAAAGGAGCCTTGAAGAGGCTTTCTTTTCGTTCAGTTGAAAGAGAAGAGTTGGTAATAGTTTTCCCTCATCGCCTGCGACCACAGCCGAAACTTGGGCTACCGGGGTCGCTGCGGTATCCAAGAGGCGCTGAGGGTACTGAGTTTTAGCTCCCTAACCACCTGACTTCGCCCCTGAGATCAATTTTAGCTTCTTAGCCACCCCTACCACAGTGGGCAGAACAAGGCTGAGTGGGGCGGGGAGTGTCGCCTTAGGCCCAGGCTCAGGTGGCCTCGTCACGTGGGAGTCGAGTAGGTAAGGACTCATCGGCACGGTTACCTGAGGAGCCATCCCTCCCTGCTGAGGCTGCTTCTCCAAATTATAGGCTTCCAAAATGTCCAGTCGAGGGCTGTTTCCCCAAATTACACTATCCTAGGGGTGTTTCCAGTCCCCACGTTAACTCCTAAAGCAGTTTAACTTACTATTGTGAACACCGTGCGTGTGCTACCAGCTGCGGGACAGGTTCCCTTCATAACTGAGTTACCCAGAAGCCACCACTTCAGAGGGAGATTCAGAAGATGTTCGTGAAAAGGATTATTGAAAGTGAACACATTTGTCGCATAGGAACAAAATATATATTTAAAATTTTAAATCTAAAACTGTTTTTGAGAGTCCTTTTAAAGAGCAATAGACTTAAGTGTAAATACTCAGAAAGAGCTCCCAGAAGGCTGGAGTAAACTTTCTTTTATGGTAATATTTCCCATCTCCATGCCATACAGAAGACGGGAGTGTTTCTGATGATTTTCTTCCACGGTAGGTTTTTAAAAAATGCTTTTCTGTCAGGTTGAAACATTTTAAAGTGTCCCACTGACAAGAACATATTGTAAAACACAATCCGAAGAGTAATATATGGTATGTTTGTATTCCTCTTGTAATAATTTGATTATGAGAAAGCTACGAGGCCGCATTGCAGTTTGAATGTCACACTTACGATGTTGCATGTTTGCTTTGACATAGCTTCTAAGACCATGTAACTTTCTGTCCCTTTTGAATTTTTAAACTTTTCATTACAGTTAGTGAATATGAAAGTATTTCTGAATAAAAACAAATCTACATTATAGACTCTGAAATAATGTGATTTTCAAGAGCGAACTCTAAAACCTTAAGGTTTCATAGTTGACCCAGCCTGAACTGAGGACGTCACTGTCTGCCAAACATAGGCAATGCTTCAGTATCTTTGTCTGTTAGTTCCTTGATATTCAAATCAAAATTATCCAAATGCACATTTCCTCAAAAAGTAGATTGCAAACCAGTGCTTTCCAGGGGTCCATTTTGGCATCTCTGGCCTCACCTTTCCTGGTTAGTGTGGACCTTTTGATGAAATATTTTAGTGGGTACTTTTGGGCACATAAAGTTCACTTTAGAATATCACTTGGAAGGTTTGCTGGAGTCATTACCATTACTTTTTCTGGAACATCTGTGAAGCATTCAGAAAGCCCTAGAGTTTAGCCTTTAAAACCTTTTGGCAGAATCAAAACAGGAGCCATACCTGTGCTTCCTTAGAATCTTCCAGAAAGAGCAAGTTCTGGGCAGAAGCAGGGAGGAGAGTGTCGGGCTTCAGGACTGAGTGACGATGGTATGGCCAACTCTTTTGTGAAGCTTTCGTCATCAGAAGAATACGGTCATTTCAAATGGGTTGATGTGTTAATGTTCACAATCTTAAGAAAATTTAAATATATATGTTATATATAAAATTTGATGTGTATTAAAATCTAAAACTGGAGGTCAGCTGGAACATAAGCGCAGGTTTAATGGCGATTTGCATGAACAGATGGAGACAAGGATTAGTGTTTACTGTAAATCATTTTTTAAATCAGATTAAAGTCTTTTAAGAAAGGAATGGTTCTGGCTATAAATTTAGGGGATTTGCTTCCCATCAAGATTTCATGTGGAATAAGCTAAAACGATTCTTCCCAGTTTAAAGTTTATTTTAAAAAATCCAAATTGGAGGGAGCTCTCTTTTGAGCTGAGGAATATTTCAAAAATAGAGGAATTGGTTCATTAGGAATTCGCTTGGGAAAATGTTTCTCAAAAGAACATGAGTTTTTCAAGTTCCTGTAGGTAAGGGTTCTGTTTACCCTCGTGCCTACAATTAGAGAAAAATGAGGAAAAAGCAGAAAGTCCAGTCGTTTAAAGTTTGTGTGTTTGGGGAGGGCGGATAGAGAGAATTTTAGAAAACTTGTGAAGCGGTCCTTGGATGTTAAAGTGGCATTTTTTTCTGTATTTTACTACAGGCAGTTCCCAAATAAAAATTATGCTCTCGAAGTTCAGGTGTTTATTGAATTATTGAGACATAGTAATATTTCCCCGTATGAACAATACCCTGAGGGGGTGTTAACTCTCGTTTTTTTTCTTCAAAGCTTATTTTAACTACAGGGGCTCTGAGGGAAGCAGTGGTAGAGGACCCAGTCACCCTAATCAGTGCTCCAAGAAAAATATACAGCAGTTTTTTCCCTGCTGCTCCCTGGTGGTGAGACCAGAGGAATTCTCTGTCTGCTTGGTGGTGGGGACTGAGCCTCAGCAAGCAGTTGGAGGCAGATCGATCAGTGTTTCAGGAGAGACCTAAGATGTTCATACATGAATACCCCATTGTTTGCTACAGAAATCCGAGCGGCACACGAAGGCTAAGGAACAGAATGGGACCTACGATGAGGTGACAGGGATGCCACCAGGAAACTGGCTGTGAGGCGGGGCAGGGGTGAAGGTGGCGGAATTGGCGATACGGCCCCCTGCCTTGCCTGTCCCCACTCCCGTGTTCTTTGGATTGTCACTAGCATGAATTGGGAAGTAGAGGAAGGGCAGGGAAGGAAGCTTAAGGTCTGCAGCACCCAGCAGTCCCAAGGCAAATATTCCCACGTAAATGGCATCTCCAGGTCACATGTATGTAAATTAGGGGCTGGCTACACATCGTATTTCCAAAGATGTTTAAATTACCCCAATATGTCTGAGAAGTTAAAATGCTTAGTTTTCAAAAACTAGAGTAAATCTGAACTCTCTCCAATGTGTTGATGGGTTAGGAAAGAGTAACCATATACTAATTTTAAATTATGTTATAATATTATAAGTACAAATGAATGATAAGAAAGGAGTAATTGTGTTTGAACTAACTGTAGAACTAACAGTGGCTGATGTACTTGTTCCAAGCTTTTGAAAATGACATATTAGCGAGGTAACTCTTTTGGTCATTATACCTTAACTTCCATTAAATGACTTTGTGGTGTGTCATATAAAAGGACATTTAAAATTTCTAAGACCATAGTGTATCCACACTGGCTATAGCCATACACAACCCCAGGGCAATAAATCTGCAATTTTGACTGAATTGCTAGGTGGTTTTTAAACTGTGTAAAAAGACAAGAACTTTACTTCAATTGTCACTATTGACATTTCAAGTGTGCATGTGTATTTTAAATTCACACTCTAGGAGCAGGTATCTACTGCCAAAGAAATTCAGAGGGTTGGATTACCTGGGTTAGTCCTAACATGAGTCTGTCAGTCTTCAGTTTTGGGGTAGGCTGATGAAACTAGTACAGAGTTCATGATAACTGGGTTTCCGTTTCAGTCTGCTCATGTATCAGCTGAGAAAGAGGGAACAAATAAGTGGGGAATATAAGCTCAGTACTCATTTTTCACAAGAGTGCAAATACTGCAGGTCAGCCTGCAGCCGTAAATGCTGAGACTGTGCAGACTTTCTATCCTAGAAGTTTATTAGAAATCACTTAAATTATTGGACCATTGAATGAGCCAGGCCTTTTGTCACTTATTTTACAGTAATAGTTATAGTAATTTAATCTTAGAGTTAAGTCTCCTGAAAGGATCTAATGATTTTGCAGTTTTACTGGAATAATTCCAGTTCAGTAATGGTTCAGTCCAACAAGTAGCCTGAAAAAAAGTAAGTATTCCCCCGAGGAGACAAACTTATTTCTAGAACAGATTTAATAAACACAAGGTGAGAAACAATACAAAACTCCTAAACCCATGTGAGTTAAGTAAAAAGGTGAAAGAAGAAACACACGGAAAAAATACTATAATTTATAACAACTTTTAGATTGGTAGAGCTCTAATGGCTTTTGTTTGCGAAGTTTGGTTTTGTGGCAAAACAGAAATTGAAGTAGTTATACACACACACACACAGGGATGATTCTTAAATGTTTTTGAAATATTTCTGTTAATGTCAGAACCTCTCCACATTAGATTTTTTGTTTTGTATTAAAAGTAAGTAACTTAATTTCTTGTTGTAGAATTGAGCTATTATACAGTTATCAGTATACTCAATTTCTAACCCACTGAAAATGAGGGGGAAAATATTTGTTAATGTATTAAGACTTTTAACAAACTTGGATACACAGTCAAACCTAACTCAAAAGATTGATTGTTACTGGACCATTGAAATAGATTTTCCCTTTTTACTGTATTCTCAAGTAATTTTTTATATCAAAATATAAAACACTTAGATTTTTATCATACAGATGTTAAATTTTCCTATAAAAACCCCTCAGTGTTTCACTGAATTGCGCTTCATAGAGGAAGATATTCTGAATATAATTGATGCTGTTTAATTCAGATAAAGAATTCCACTGTAACAAACCAGAAATTTGTTGTACGTTTCTGAGTTAACAGCATAGTAAATTTAGCAAAGTATAGCTTAAAAATAAATATTTAGATAGCAAGTCTATTTAAATAAAAATTCAGACAGGTTAATATGACTTAATAGGCCTAACAAACCCAAAATATGGAGAAAATTTTTATGAATACATTATCTTGGAAAGTTGCCCTGTAATTCAAGCAATGTACTGAAAATTCTATCTTTTTGAAACAGTACTATAAATAGTTGTCTAGTATTATTTTATAGTTTAAAAAGCAATTTTATGTGCTACTGTCTAATGATCAGTAATGTAAAAATGTATAATCAGAAGAGCTTAATTCTTCTAAACTGTCATTGGTTTGTAAAAGTGTGTACATATACTGGGCAAATAAGTTTAAACGACTGACAATAAATATGTGAAATGAATATATAATAGTCTATTTTGCCATAAAAATAAATATTGAAGCAAGATATGATTTGTGTGTGAATATAAGAGTACAATTAAAGCTAATTTGCCTCTTATTTTTTTCATTCTAGATCTTAATGCAAAGAGGCATATAATTACTCCTATTTCCCAATTGTTTTTTTAAAAATAATGTGCTAATAATAGATGTTTCTTTTAGTAGTTGTCAGTCTGTCATCATCACACATCTCCACCAAAATCAATCACTTAAGAGTAAGAATGCATCTTACCAAAATAGGCAGCTTCACTAAGGACTTTGTGGAGCAATTAATATATTTAAATAATAAATTATGTACTTCCCAGGATCAATTTCCCAGCAGGTCACTAAAGCTACTCACACAATTATCCCGGTAGAGGAACTTACTGTTATTTGTAAATGTCCCCTTCAGTTTTTGGTGGGGTTGTTTCTCAACCAGCAACAGCAGCAGGAAACTTGTTAGAAATGCAAATTCTTGAGGCCCATCCCAGATCTGGAAATTCTGAATCAGAGGCTATGGGGATGGGGCTGAGAAATCTACCTGAACAAGTTCTCCAGGTGATTCTGGTACATCAAAGTGTCAGAACCACTCCTTTAATAATTAATAAGCCGTAGATGTTCAATATAGATCTTAAGTCAGGATTCATTACATAGCCAAGCTACAAATGGTAGGCACTAAAGTTTACTTAGGTGATTTTTATTAGGTTAATGATATTTATAGCTGTGGTAGGCTAGATAATGGGCCCCCAAAGGTGTCCATGTCCCTGAAGTTGTGAATGTTACTTACATGGCAAAAGGGACTTTGCAGGTGTGATTAAGCTTCTTGAGATGGTCCTGGATTATTCAGGTGGGCCCAAAGTCATCACAAGGATCTTTGTAAGAGGAAGGCAGGAGGGCCACAGTGAGAGGTGGTGATGGAAGCAGAGGTGTGAGGAAGAGCTGAAGGTGCCACACAGCTGGCCTTGAAGATGGAGGGAGGGGCCACAGTGAGGGGTGCAGGCAGCCTCTAGAGGCTCGGAACAGATTCTCCCTGGAGCCTCCTAGAGGAATGCAGCCCTGGCAACACCTTGGTTTTAGGATTTCTGACTTCTAGAATGGTAAGAGGACTTTTTTTTCAAGCCACTATGTTTGTGGTAACGTTATGGAAGTAGTAGAAAACAACAAAACAGTATATATTTCTTGATGGTAAACTCAGGGTTTTTTGCTGTTGTTGTTATTCCTCACATGAAGGTATTTTTTCCATTGCTTTTCAGAGTGGGAGGGGGAAAGGGGGAGAAACAATGGATGTGAGAGAGAGACATTGACTGGTTGCTTCCCGCACGCCCTGACTCGGGGCTGGGAGCAAACCTGCAACCCAGTACGTGCCCTTGACTGGGAATCGAACCCATGACCCTTTGGGGCCAACACTAACTGCTGAGCCACACTGGCCAGGCAAACTCACCTGTTTTTAAGATCTTGGAAAAACTAGGTGAGTATGAAGTGTGGATCACTGTAGCAGATTGCTTTCCAGAACTAGGCTAGCACATGAGGGGAAAGTGGAAGAGGTGTTTCTACTTCTACATGTAAATTATTTCCATTTTAATTTCTAAAGACCCCAAGAATTCACTAAAATGAATCTTTGCATCATTTAGTCCAAACTCTTTTAAATTGAGGCCCAGGGTAAAGTAATTCATTGGCAACTACGCAGCTAATTAATCCACTTGGCAAGTTGTTGGCTTGCCCCATAAAAATTACTCTGATCTCGTCTGATTGGCTTCACTGGAAAAAAAAAAGTGACTTTTTAAAGTAAAGCTTCTCAGGAAGATGCTAATTTATATTTTACATCTTTAAAATGTGAGCGAATGAGGAACTTTTCATGTAACTTAGCCATTTGCTACATTCTTCCTTCTACATGGGGGATTTGTACTTTCTGAGTGTAAAAAGGAAACTTCTGTCCTGTTTCCCCCATAACCTGGTCTGCAGCTAAACCTCCTCTCCAGCTCAAACTAGCTCCCTTCCTGAGCAAATACATTCTCTCTCCAGCAGACAAGGATATGGGGACCCAAGACGCAAGCTCTTCCTCTTGAGAAGCCCATTAGTCTGGACAGGAGACAAATTGGGTATGTAAACAATATAATTCATTTTGTAGATGGACAATCTTAGATCCTAGGGCAGGCGGGACAGAAGTAGGGACAGTCACTTAAGGTTTCAGTGGTACACTCAGTGTGGGGTATCAATGAAGGCTCAAGACAGCAGCAGACAGAGAAGAGGGGGGTTGAGGGACTGAGTGAAAAAGTGAAGGGATTGAGAAGTACAGATTGGTAGGTACAATACAGTCATGGGGAATATAGTCCATAATATTCCAATAACTATATATGCTGCCAGGTGGGTACTTGAAATATCAGGGGGACCACTTTGTAAAGTATATGACTGTTAAACCATTATGCTGTACACCTGAAACTAATACAAAATAATATTGATTATAAACTGTAATTGAAAAATAAAATAACTATCTAAAACAGAGCAACAAAGGGGAATGACATTCTGAGCAGATAGGAAATACAAAGGCATGGAGAGAGGCCTCCTGCATGTTTGGGGAATGAGCAATTAGATGTGATAGACACTCAGGATGCCTGGGAGATGGCAAGAGATGAGCTGGGAAGGAAAACAAGACATAAAAAATGCAAAAGGGCCTGTACTTTATCTTTTTAGCAAGAGGAAACTAAAAGGTTGTTTATTTTTAAAGAAGGGGTTGGCATGGTCTGATTTAAAATAATAGTGGCAGCCTGTATTTATCATACAACCTGTTTTTAATGGTTGCAGCCCTGTGAGGAAGGCTTTCTAATTACCCCCATTCCACCAGTTGGGAAGCACAGAGGCTCAGTAACCCAGATTAAGGTCACAGCTCGTAAGAGTTAAACCCAGGTGAACTGGCTTGCAAGGCTCACTCATCTTGACTACGAAGCAGAGTTGAGATGGGCTGTGGGAGAAAGTAACAAAGATGCTGCTTGAAAAGTCAAAGCCAGTGGTTCTCAAACTTACCATTCACTTCTACCTTCATACAACTTTGCCATATCCAAGAATCACTTTAGATATTTCTTTCAACCAACTCATCTTTTTAAACTTAATTTTTAAGGGGAAAGCTGAGGACAACGATAACAAAAGTACCCTAAGAAGTACAGAAGTCAGGAAGGGTCATGGCCCTACAGACAAGGCCATATTGTTAGGGGCTAGGGAAGGCAGACGTGCCAAGGCAGGGCAGGAGGGCAGGAGGGCAGGAGGGCAGGAGGGCAGGCCTGGCTGGGCCCAGGAGCGGGAAAGCAGGAAGTTCCTGAGATGCCGCGAGCGAGGCAGCAGCGCCACGGGGAGGACGGGGAGGACGGGGAGCCAGGCAGCGGGTGGGAGGCAGTGCCATCACAGCCAGGTGAGGGTGCAGAGCGCGGCTGGAGCTGAGGAAAGGAGCCGGGGCCGACAGGATGAAGCCCGAGAAGCAGATGGGTGAACGATGGTGGACGGGGAGGCGGGCTGGGAGCCGGCAACAGGGTTGGGGTATTTCAGGAGGTTTAAGAGACTGCAAGGTGGGGAAAGGAGGGGCTCCACAGAGGGCTAAGGGGAAGAACTCCAGAGGGGAGCGCTGAGGGGTCGGTGGGGACCAAGGAAAGGCTGCAGCAGGGTGACCTGGGGCCTGAGACACTGGGGAAGAGGCTGAGTGCCCAGCTCCACCACACTGCTCTGCAGTTGGTCCCTGAGCCCGGATCCTGAACATGGTGGTCAGCTTCCCATGAATGAGGACGGACCTGCAGTCCACGGATCACCGGGAGTCAGCTCCAGTACTCCAGGGGTACGCACCACCCTCTGGGAAACACTGGTGTGGGCAAAGGATCATAAGAAGCCCGAGTGAGAGAGTGGAACACTTGGAGGCCGTTGCTAAGTTCTAGAACACTATTGTTTCATCTTTTTATCCTTGTGCCTTGAAACTTTATACATTAACAGGCACTCAGATATTCAATTACATTATTGTAAGTGGTTGAAAAGACCTAAGTAGAGATGAGTCTTCTGAGACATGGTACTAAGGATCCCATGCATGAGCTACAATTATAAGGGGAGGGTGTCTGACAGAATATATTTGCCCTCACAAGAAGGGATAATATCCCAGGTAGCTGACAGACTGCTCTAGCTCATTGGTAACTAGAAAGGCCTTGAGGCTTTAAATATTACAGGAAAGTGAGAAAAAAAGAAATGAAAGACACTGTAGAGCGGGGTTAACGTTTCAGGATCCGAGCCAGATCATAAACCATTTCCTCTTGCCTACAAGACCTCTTACATCTGGGTAAATTATGTTCTCCTGAAAAACAACTTTAGAAATTGTGGTCGACAGATCCTAAGGTGACCCCAGTGACTCTTACCTTCTGGCATTCACATCCTTCTATAGGAAGAGTAGGTGGGACCTGTGACTTGCTTCTACCCAGAAGAGTATGTTGAAGGTGACAGAGTGTCATTCTGTGACTGAAGCAGCAGCCACGCTGTGAACTGCCTGTGGAGAAGGCCCAGAGGCAGGGAACGGTGGGCAGCTTGTAAGAGCTGAGGACAGCCAGTGGCCAACAGCCAGCAAGAAATCAAAGTTTTCAGTTCTGTGGCTACAAGGAAAGGAATTCGACCAACAACCTGAAACGCGTTTGGAAGCAGTTCTTCCTGGACTGCCACCTGGAGTGCAGCCTAGTGAAATCCAGAGCAGAGGCCCCAATTAAGCTGTATTCAGACTCTTGATCCATAGAAACTGGGACAAATAATACATGTGGTTTGTTTTAAGCTGCTAAATTTATGGTAATTTATTATTCAGCATAGAAAATACAGAAAATATTAATATATAAAAGAAAAAAGAGGAAAAGGAATATTGAATTACTGGCCATTTGGGACATTTATTAATGAAGATCAAACATCCAAAGGGCAGTCCTCAATGCTCATTTCCATGATCTGAAGAGTTGGTTCTTCTAGCTCGTGACGGCTGCCACCTGTGACCCTGCAGAGCTGGCCACAATTGGAGAGTGCTGGGCGGACACAACACAGTTCGTTTGGAGTCTCAGCCTTTTCAGTGTCACTGTCACCCTCAATGACAGTCACAGAGGTCTCTCGGTCTCTTAAGCTGTCTGAAAGACTTGGATTTTTTTCGTCCTCAGTGGAAGGTCCCAGGTTTGTTTCGTTGTCCACCTGCTGAACTGTAACGCCTTCTGAATACTTTGACTTGTAGGCTGGGAGGAAAAACTCATTTGGCGAGGTCCCACCATCATCCTCTGGGACAGACAGGAACAGATCCAAGGCTTTCCGGTATTCTCGCCGCTCCTGTTGAACTGCTTCATCTCGCTCATTCTGTGCTGAATTCCCAGCCTTTTCAAAGTCTAGTAAATTCAACATACCAGCGTCATCCAGCCTCACTGAGTTCTCCTGGGATATGCAGCCTAAATTCACCTTTAGGATATGCAGCAGGTAGCGCATTTTCCCCTAGGATTAAGAAAAAGACAGGAATAATTACATGAATTAAGCTAGTTAAATTGAATTACTTTTGTCTGACGTGCTGCTACTCTCAGTGGGATTGATAAAAGATCTTTCCACCCCACCCCAAACGTATACAAAGGACAAGGGGAAAAAGCACTTGTTCTTAATGCATTCTTTAAGGGTATGGAAAAACTTTAAAATTCTTTCTGCATTAGAATTTTTCTAATGCAGTTCTAAGAAAAGACAAACCTCCTCCAAGTGGTGTTTATTTTGTCTTACATGTCGTTCAAACAGTCGTTCTAAAGACCTACAAATGATAAATAAAAACGTTAATATCTCAATCAGAAAATCAACTAAATATAAAGGAGCGATGCAATAACTAAACTACTAAAGTTTAGGAAATGTTTTTTAGATGGCTCTTTTTGTTTCCAAAGTTAAAGACCAGTCCTTCCCTGTTCTGTCAAGGTCTCCAGTATGGAAGCTAGTATGGCTTCTCATGCGTTTAAGTCAACATAATGGATGCCAATGTTTCTGAAAGACTGCATGCTACTTACATTTCTGTGAATAAAATATTTTAAATAAGGTCCAAAAATTCCTTCGTGCTCTCTTTCACTCACCCCCTCACACCCTAAAAAGCTGTCCTTTTCTCTCACACACATATGCAGATACCATAAGCCTCCCTTCTTTCTCTCACACATAACATTACCCCCATAAACCAAACTCTAAAGAAATTTCTTTTATAAAGAGTTATTTTAAAATGCTTCCTAAAACACACTTGAAAAGGATTCCACTAATGGTAAATCCATACAATAACCTAAAAGTTTTCACTTATTAAGCACCACTACGTGCTAAGCATAAAATAATAATTATGCCTCTAATCATGGCCAGTATCAGGAGAGAAAGGTATTGTAACAAAATTTAAAGATGAGAAAACTACAATTCTAAGACAATGATTTCCTCTCCCCTCCTGTCACAGCCATTAAGAGAATTTAACCAGAGGTGTCTGGTGCCAGAGTTTATTCTTTCAACTACACCATGCCTGTCTTCTATCATTTGAGTGTATCAATAGGTTTCTTAAAAAACAACACTCATTTCTTTTGTTACCATTTGTTATTACATGAAGTTATGAGCCAAGTTTATAGTCAGTAGTTATGAAATAACTACTGTTCATCAAGCTGATTCAGGATGACAGTTTCCTTTGATATGCAATACCTAATCTCTCTGCAAACTCTCCATTTTGTCTACAGTATGCAACCCTAGCTTTTAATTACTCCTCACTTTATTAGTAGCAGTTGCTTGCTTTTGATTTTCACCATAGTCTCAAATAGCAAAGTGGGATTATGGATCTTTGCAAATAAGCACAATTTTATTTTACTAGTCTATTATAACCAAAAAATATAACACTATTTAAATGAATAAAATCTCTATTTTTTCTATAACTCCCAATCTGTGAGCCTGCCTAGAGGATGAATTAAACACTCTTTACAGTTTGCTATCGATGGTAAGAATATGGTCCTCCAAGAAAGCAATAGAAGTTTTCATTTCCTAGTATGTGGAAGTACCTTAAAAATTAATACCTAATGAAGAGTACTTTAATGTACTCTTCAACCACCGTGTATTATTTTAAAAAATCTAACCTGTTTGAAAATAAACCAAGTTTCAAAATTTCATCTGTGACATCCTCAATGAAACTCAGATACAACAGCTCTTCTTCACTGTGAAAGCAAACACAGCACACAAATTACTCACTGCTTCCTCCGAAAACTACAGGGATACATACCTACTCAGGAACACCTCTACTGTTTGTTACGACTGTACTGCTGTCTCATATCATGAAGAGGAATATTATGAAACAAATGTCAGTTTTCTGAAATTACGCAGGGATAAACATTAAAGATGAGAAAGTATTCCCTAACAGAGTAAAATTTCAGATTTCTGTGACATCCATCCAGCAGTAGGAAATCAGCAGAGGTTAAACAGAACAAAAACAGAGATCCACCAAGGGCGAGGGCAACCAAATGTGACGAATGGGGCACGTGTTCCTGATGGGGGTTTCCATGTGCTCAGGCTCCTGACCTGGACCAGCAGCAGAGGCATGAGCCTTCTGCACACACGGGCAGGAAGGGAAAGAGCACCATTGTCCTGAGAAGCAGAGGCTTCAACCATCTCCTGATGCTCAGACAGCATCTCGTTTTAAGGTTGGGAAATTTACTGAATGGAAAAAGTTATTTTTTTCTTAAAAGGTTTGGAGAAGAGGAAAATATTCTAATACAAAAATTTATGTACAAAAATACAGTGGTATTTTTAATTACTTGGACATATTTATTACATTATCTTATGAGATAACTATATTTTAGTAGCTATTACAAGAAAATTAGAATACTGTTATAAGTTTGATTAGTTGAATTAGAGAATTTGATGGAAAATGTGAATAGCATTTATTAAGTGTAAATAATTATTGATAAGTAAATATAAGGGAGGAGTTAATAAGCAAATCAGATAATAGAAGGTTAAAATGTATAAAAAGTTATACTTTCAAATTGCTGCACAGTCTCTAATATTTAAATATCAAGTCTGAGAATAAATGAAACTATAAAAATACAGGCATGGAAAAAAGTAGGTTTACAGTTCATATGGAAAATAAAATAATAAATAATAATACAAGAATAAGCTTTTTGTGTACTCACAACTATAAACTTTTGCCCATCCCTGTAGATTATTTCCCCCCCAAAAATGCAGCTTAATTAAAACCTAAACATATAATATTTGCAAAGAACTGAGGTGGGAAACCTTCAGGAAGGCTATCCTGAGCTACTCAAAGTCTGAATTTCTTGGAAACTACTACTTTCACTTATAAAAATATACAAGAATATGGGTACTAATTATTAAAAAATAGGTATTATTAACTTAGGGACAAATTTCCACTGGACATAAAGATGAAGTGATAATTATTTCAGAAAATTTTGATCACTTTCTCAAAGTTAGCATGTGTCAGATGACTGAACCCCAAAGCTGTTTGTAGGAGAGATTAGTGTTCAATCCTAACTTACTGAATAATAGTTTGTATGATTCTTAATTCTTGATTCCCCTTAAGCAAAATGAAAAGGTGAGAAAGCTCTTACTCAGAGTAGATTTTTCTCCTTGAATGAGGCTGCTCGGAACACTGGCATACTACCCTGAAAAGAGAAAGTTACAATATTTGAACGGTGGCTGGCGCCCTGGCCAGGTGGCTCAGGCAGGTGGAGCATCATCCCAAAAGGCTGGGGTTCCTTCCTGGTCAGGGCACATACCTACGTTGTGGGTTTGATCCCCAGGTGGGGCACATATGGGAGGCAACGATCGATGTTTTTGTTTCTCTTTCTCTCTCTAAAAATCACTAAAAACATTCCTCAGGTGAGGATTAAAACAATGGCTGGCATACAGTAAGTGTTCAATAACATCATAGATTAGTAATAACATGTTGCACATCCATGATCTAATCTAACCCTCAAAAAATCCTGTCAGGAATATTGGGTGGGTATGATTTTTCTCCCTTACTAATGAATCACCAGGGGGCAGGAAGGCCAAGTACATAGCAAAGACAGATTTTTTACCTATTCTTCTAATTACACATTCATACCCCTTTTAAAAACTGTACTATGGCACTTACCTAGCATAAATAACAAAAATTTGACTAAGATTAACATGTAGTATAAGTAATGCTGAAAACAGATGTTTCCCTGTGGAAAAAATTTTTAAGCTGGTCACTGTGATAAATTTTTTTACTCAGTTCCATTCTCATTAGTTAATACTAAGCTTTTTATTCAGGCATACGCAATTATAATATTTCACTTCTTTTAGATAAAACTACTAGAAAATATAAAGATTCCTTTTTTAGGTGACTCTCTATGTTCATTGCAGACTGGGTCAAGAGAAGTTTATAAATCTTAAGTAAGAAGCACATGAATCTCAAGACAGGACAGCAGCGAACCCCACAGCCTGGCGGTGAGCTCTCCCTAGGCAGGCCTGGGGGAGCTGGGCGGAGGACTGTGCACCTGCCTTCTGTCTGCGACGTAGCACCTCGCCCTTGCCCTCTTTTTAACCTCTAGACCTTTCTTCCTTCCACCTCCTTCATCTCACATCCAGTCTCCGACACTGGAAATGCGTTTGACAGCTTAAACTATCAAAGACATTGCTTAGGTTCTGCACTACGGGCTAACCTTTTTGTATTTAGATGCAGTATTTCACACTCACTAAACAGGATGTGATTTTTTAAAATAGTGCTTCTACCTAGCATGCAAATCAAGCACCAGCACATGGTGAATATTCAAATCACAGATTCTGAATCCCCAAATGGCAAGGTGTTCAGTACCACCTGTGCCACGCAAGCTGGTTAGCATCACTGAGAGGACTTGTCTCGGGGAAATTTCTTTTTCTCATGAATAGTGATGGGAAATAATATGAGCCACTGTTCCTTTTTCCTTTGTTAATGAATTAGTAAAATGAGTTCATATAAACTTTTATTGAGCACCTACTTTGCAAAATTTCCTTAGCAAAACTAACGCTGCCACTTGAATTGCAAAACACCAGAGTGTAATTAAACAGTACTCCCATGTTGCCAGTACCACGTCTGTCACACGGGGCTGCAGTCAGATGGAGACCATTGAAGTGATTTCTCCTGCTAGCCATTTACCTTGCCGGGGAACACTGAAGAGCACCACCTTTAATGTCGTCCCAGGGTAAGGCATTCCCTTGCAAAGGTAAAGGAGTTATGTTTTCTTTGGTTCCACAACTAGATGCCTGGGGATGCAATGACAAGAATAACTCTATTTTGCTTCAAAAATACAATATAAAAGCAGAAATAAAGCAAAACAGCAAATTTCAAAAAAAGTCAAGGTAAGAGAACAGAGATATCCAGTAGATAAAAGTGACAACTATATTATGACAACGAATGTTTTTGAATACATTTTCCATCCAATCAGGACTTTTTTCTTAAATTTATTTAAAGATAAAAAAAACCTTATTTCTTGTATTTTAATGAGAGACATTTTAAATGACATTAAGAAATCACCACAAATAAACATATAAAGAGAAAATATGCAAGTTTTAGATAAACATGAGAAAAATGTCTTACTGAGAAATTTAGACAACCCATCTGTCTCCAATGCCAACATAGCAAACATGTAGAAGCAGTGGTGGGCATGCTTTGGGCCACATACTCTGCATTTACTGCATTATAAGATTAATCTTTACAATGCAAATTTACATACAGTGCTTTACAGTTTTAAAAGTTCTGTTAACCTGAGGGTTTCCTGTCTTCATCCTCAAGTAGAGAGCTGGTGGTATTTGGGGACTTTGGGATATGAGGACACACCATTTTCTTACAGGGTTATGGAAAAACATTTGGAACACGCTGTCATAAAAATGGACGTATTCTGCTTTAGTTTATTTAGTTACCTATACAGCTAACTCTCTTCCTGAATCTCAGGCTAGTGATGGCCACCATTTTTTGAGCCCTGGTTGGGCTAGGTACTTTCCTTACATCATTTATTCCTTCCAATGATCCTGCATGTTAAGTATAGTTTTCCCAGATGTAGAAACTCAGCTCACAGGGCCCTATGTCAAACAGCTGTTAGTGGCTGAGATGGAATCCTAAAATCCTCTACCCATTGTCAGAAGGGAAGAGGGAAGTTGAATATTTCATTGTTCTATCCCTGAATCTGTGTTTGACATTTTAATAGACAAACATTTTAATAAACATTAAATTTAATTTAGGACACAAGTATATGATTAATACCCCCAAATGAAAATAAAAATAATTACTTTATCTCAAAAATAAAGTTGTGATATTTTAAAAGAAATGATTGCTAGGCATTCAAAATGTAAACACTATAAAAAAAAGACCTTTATGGTATAGAAAAAAGTAAAAGCAAACAGAATGATATATCCATCCATTCCTATAAAATGTACATATAATTTTCAGTAATATAATCCGTGGTAATTCTTTAAAGATCCATAGGCACAAAAATTAAAATATTTCTGCACAACTTTTGTGGTTCCTTTAGTAACCCAAGTCTACATCTCTGAAAACATTTAAGATATTTTATTCATCCACCCATCTATCCAGCCAGTCAACCAACCATCTAGAAGAGATGCTAATAACACATGGTTTTCAAATTGGCAGGGTCCACCTGGCCATTCCCAGAGAGTAAACAGGCAAACCTTTTGTACACTGGCTATACTGTATGCAAGAGTGTCACCAAGAGATTACTCTTCACAGTCCAAATAGCTACACACGTTTTATCAAGTTAGAGCAGCTGTAATTCCAATGCTTAGCACAGGGATCTCATTCCTCTTACCTGTTTTATGTTCACTTCTGAATCTGTGAAGTCCTTAGTCTCAACTCTCTCAAAATCAGACTTAAAGCTGTAATATTTAAAATATATATATTGTTAAGCCTTCAAAATACAAACACTATGATAACAAGCTTTACCATCTAGAAAAAAACTCAAACATAGGAGATGAAATCCATCTAATCTTATAAAATGTGTTATGTCTAATTATACAATCAGGAAATAGACGTGATTTGGATTATCTATGCTCTTTCTCCTTTACTTCGAATAGCAGCTAAATTTCAGTTGGGCAGAAAGGGACAAGGCAAACGAGAACTATTCTCTTGAAGAGATGTCATAAATATAACCAGGAAAGCATGTGATATACCAGCTCTCCTCATTTATCCCTCACTTGGCAAGTTCTAGCATAGATTCAACTCCTTAATTATTTGATTAAATGTATGCAGACTCATCTGATATTACTGTACCTCTTGTATTTACCCAGAGAAAAGAATACTGGTCATAAATTGCTTTTTACTTTCTAAATAACTAAAACCAGTACCTGTTTTAAATATATAAATATATAAATACTTTCTAAATATTTAAATATATATTTGTTTAGATAACCCAGGATCAATAATCACAAATCAGCTTACACTTTTTTTTTTTTTATAATATCTTTATTGATTTCAGAGAGAGGAAAGGAGAGGGAGAGAGAGAGAGAGAGAGAGAAACATCAATGATGAGAGAGTCATTGATCTGCTGCAGCCCGCAACCTGGGCATGTGCCCTGACCGGGAATCGAACCCCGATTTCCTGGATCCTAGGCCGATGCTCAACCACTGAGCCATGCCCGGCCGGGAGAGCTTACACTTAATACTTCACAAGATGTTTGTTTTTCCAGTCACTTGGCAAACTTTTACTGAATATCAATTACGTGCTAGGTACTACTGTATATGAAAACATTATTGAGGCATATTATATTTAACTTCCAGGAATGATCCCAAGTGTCTAAATTACACCGGGGAGTTGCTGCTATGCAAGGCTGGGGCTGAGTATCTGCAGGAAAGGGAGTACAGGGGGTAGCTGTTTCTCCCCTTTCTCTAACCCACTGTTTTGCCATTTTTTTTCAATCCTCGCCTGAGAATATTTTCCCCATTGCTTTTCATTAGAGTAGAAGGGGGAAAGAGAAAGAGAGAGAAGAAAACACCCATGTGAGAATGACACATTGATTGGTTGCCTCCCGCATGTGCCCCGACCAGAGCCAGGGATTGAGCCTGCAGCTGAGGTGCGTACCCTTGACCAGATCCGAACCCGAACCCTTCAGTCGGGCAGACCAACGCTCTAACCACTGAGCCAAACTGCTGGGTGCCATTTTTATCACAAAGCAATAGAAGTTTGCACAAATGCTGTTTGATGACATATTTTAAGGATTCTCTGGAAGTATAATATTTAAAAACACATAAAAGTTCTAGTATCATTTTAAAAACAATAAATTAAAATATGTAACATTCGTGTATATAAGGAGCTTGACAAGTTTAACAGCCCCCTGGGTTTTCAACAATTACTCTTCATAGTTCTAAGTGATACGTGTAAAAGGAAAAGTCACAGCAAAGTCATTCCATTCAAAAGGCACATAAACTACATGATATAAAATAAGGATTATTATTTAATTTCTGCAACACACTGAAGGATTTATGATTGGCTGTTGATGTGCCTTACCTGCTCAATTCAGTCTGGGTTTCAGCTTCTACCCGCTGATCTGTAAAATCCTTTTTTCTTTTGGCAGGTGTATAATATCGATACTGTGACAGGAAAGATTTTGCTTCTGTTTTCAAAGTGCGTGGAGTGAATGGCAAATGTCCATTAGAAAAGAGTTTAGAATGTTTATCCAAAAGGTCCCCACTGGATGCTTTTGAAATAACTAGCTGAGACTGGTGGTAATTTGGCAATGCGCTCCTGGGCCTCTGGCCATACAAGGTTGCAGAGCCCATTCTCCTGGGCCTGGACGTGGTGTAATCTATGCTGGCCAGGAAGGAACTGGAGCTCTTCTCAGTACCATCTCTGAGGACTTTATTGGACTTAGGAAGACTTAGGTGTAGTCTCTCTGAAGAAGTTACTGATGACCTCGCAAAGGGCGAATACCCATGCACTTCTTCCATGCTGTCTTCATTTTGTGTTTTTTCTGCAGGCTGAGGACATTGGGTTTTATAGTTATCAATTACATTTGCAAATTCATAAGCATCAAACATGGTTGCCTCGGGGGCTTACAAAATTAACTTGTATGTTCCTAAAGATGTGAGCATTGTATATAAAATTCTATTCAAATTTTTGAAGAATTAATATATGAAAATATAATTCTAAATATGTTAATAGCAATCATTTTTCTTTCTGAAGCTAAAAAATGATTAATAACATATATCTATATATTTGCAAAGTTTTTTAAAAAATATATCTTTATTGATTTCAGAGAGAGGAAGGGAGAGGGAGAGAGAAATAGAAACATCAACGATGAGAGAGTCATTGATCGGCTGCCTCCTGCACACCCCCGACTGGGGATCAAGCCCACAACACAGGCATGTGCCCTAAGAATCGAACCCTGATCGCCTGGATCCTAGGTCAACGCTCAACTGCTGAGCCACACCCAGCCAGGCTACATTTGCAGTTTTGACTTGTATATTGAGATCTACTGATAGATCTCAGTTTTATCTGTAAGTTTCCAAATCAACTGTGAGCCCCAATCCCCTCTCAACCACAGTTGTTGGCACCCTCCCCCCCTTCCCCTCTTGGCACTCAGGTGATCTTCACAGCCAGCACCTGCTCTGTAATTCAAGGCTTTGAAGAAAGAAAAACTTTTCCTCACAATGTATGGAGCCCTGATTTAAGTAACTGATATTTTAAATATCATTAAGAACTACTTATTCCATAAAAAGTTCATCTTTTCTCAAGTTCTCCTCACGAGTGGGGAAAGCTTTGAAAGGGAAGGTGTTTCTGACTGCTCCATTTTTTTTGGTTTAACCTTCAAAGAACCATTTCTACGGGATATCTATAAAGTCTAAAAACACATAATATTTTATTCTTTTACAAACTAGATGCCACCAAAGCCTTGTCTATGATTCCAGACTTTATGGACACCTGTGTGTCCTTTACGGAACTATGAGTTTGGGAGAGGGCTGAGGTGAAAATGGTCAGGATTTAGCCAGTCATATCTGTCCTATAGGCTCATGGGGTGAAAAACAAAAGGAGTAAGGGAAGAGCCAAGTGCTTCCTCTGTGCAAAGTACTGTTCTTATCAGTGAGTAGAATAAAAGAGGAATAATAAGAACTTCTATCACTGCTACTAATAAGTACAGAGTGTTTACTGTGTGCAAGGTACTGCTCTAATTGATTTACATGTACAACTCACTAAATCATCACATCAACTTCTGGGTGGTGGTACAATTATTACCTCTATTTTAAAGGTGAAGAAACTCAGGCACAGGGTCTCACAGATCTGAACCCAGGCTAGGCCTACATGCTTCACCATTATGTCATATTATCTACTTGAAAGATTCATTTGCCCAGCCAGTGTGGCTCAGTTGGTTGAGCATCGCGGGTTTGATTCCCAGTTGGGGCACGTGCCTGGGTTGCGGGCTCAGTCCCCAGTAGGCAGCAGAACAATGACTCTCATCATTGATGTTTCTATCTGCCTCTCTTCCTCTCCTTTCCTCTCTCTCTAAATATCAATAAAAATATATTTTTTAAATACCCATATTAATGCATATATGAACTATTTTTTAAAAATATGTCTTTATTGATTTCAGACAGAGGAAGGGAGAGGGGGAGAGAGAGAGAGAAACATCAATGATGAGTCATTGATCAGTTGCCTCCTGCACACCTTCTACTGTGGACTGAGCCTGCAACCCAGGCATGTGCCCTGACTGGGAATCAAACTTTGATCTCCTAGGCCCTAGGGTGACACTCAACCACTGAGCCATGCTGGACGGGCATAAATGAATTATTTTATGGAAGCAAATGTATAGGGTTACAGTGGCTAAAGGAAAAATGAATAGAAAATATCTTACATTTACAGATTTAATTATATATTTTATTTTCAACAAAACCCATTCTTATCTCAAAATACAATTATTAACTTATATTCAAAATGCTGGATAATAGAAAAATATTTTAAATTTTCAGTTAAAAAGTCCAATCACTAAAAATGAAAATGTACATGTGAGTCAAATATTGATGAAGAGATTGCCAGATGGCAAATTATAGTGCAGTGTCTGGCAGATTTATTCTTAAGGAAGCATCTATTCCTGGTCCTTTTATCTATGCAACAGCCCTGGGGGCTCTTACGCATATTATATTTTCCCTGATGACTCCCAAATCTATTTTTAGCCTGACAGAAATGCTTATATCAACCTCTACTGACTACATTAGATGTTCCAAAGGCACCTCAAATCAAGCATGTCCAAACAAGCAAACTCACACCTTACATTATCTACTCCTCCAAAGAAAACACTGCACTTTGTCCTGTTATCATTATTACTTCACCATCTTCCCAGCTGCCCAAGCCAGAAACCTGGAACCTCCTTAATTTTGGCTTCTTGCTCATCATATCATCGAATCAGGTTGCCAAGTCCTGGGGAATTCTACTCTGTAAGTATCTCCTGAACATGTTCCTTGTGCTCCCTTCTGCTGTCTTAGGTCAGGTCTTAAATTGTTTCTTCCCTGGTTTATTGCAACTGTCCCGTAACCAGTCCATTTTCCCTCCTGCCAGTGTAGTCTTTGTAAAGTGTCAGTATGATGGCACAGTGTTCCAACTAAAACTGATCTATAGCTCCCCATACTTCTCAAAGAAAAAAATCTGGATTCATTATGATGGTGCAAATGCCCTTAGTTGTTCCCCTGCCTAAATATACAATGGAAAGAGCTGGAGTCAAAATATGGTATGGGATACCTAGTAAGCAGAGCAGTGAAACTGGCTTTTATGAACAGGCAATAATTTTTTATCACATTTGGGGGACAGAACACAAAGCTCAGGGACTGATTTCGACGGTCTAGGGGATCATGCCCATGATTCTGGGATCCTCTCAATGGCCACACCTTGACTTGCAAAGAAACATGCCCATCTTGAACACTAGCCTTTGAGAATCTGAAATCATATGCTGCCCCCACAGAGGCCTGCAGCCTAAATGTGCATTACCCAGATGGTCCACAAAAACCTTACGCCAAAACCAATGACTCGGTTTTTTCTAATACATAAACTGTAGGGAGATGAAAAGGATATATACATGAAGATGTCCATGTCACCTAAATTTTCAAATTTGGTAATTTGGTGTATGGGCTTATTCATAATACTCTCTTACTCTCTCTTGAATATGTGTCATTTCCCAGTTTTTATTCCTAATGTGTTTTATTTCTCCCTTCATTCTTGAGTATTTTCACCAGAGATCTGTCAGTTTTATTAATCTTTTTTTTTTTTTAATATCTTGATTGATTTCAGAGAGAGGAAAGGAGAGGGAGAGAGAGAGAGAAACATCAATGGGAGAGTCATTGATCGGCTGCAGCCCGCAACCCGGGCATGTGCCCTGACCGGGAATCAAATCCCAATCGCCTGGATCGTAGGTCGACGCTCAACCACTAAGCCACACTCGGCCGGGCTTATTAATCTTTTTAAAGTGCACATTTTTTACTTCGTTAATCATCTCTATTATATTTTGTCTTCTACTTTGTTATGTCCACAAATAATTGTGACAGACTGTGTGGCCTGAAGAGCCTAAAATATTTACTATTTGGTTCTTTACAGGGAAAGTTTATTGAGACTCTGACCTACAGGAAAGATAGTACAAAAAAGTCACATTGTACCACTGATGAACTAGCTTAGAAATATCTACTTGTAAAAGGTAAAAATACCATCTTACCTTTGGCAGAGTGTTAGATAACGACTTGGAATTAGTTTTAGAATTGGCCTGCGCTGCAATTTTATTTAATTTCAACTTCTTTTCACATTGTGCTAATTCCTTTTTCAGTTTCTCTCTTCGTTGCTGGTCTGCATCTGACGGGGAAAACAAATCTTTTGAAATACAGAATAAAACCGAAAACTTAATTCTTTGGTCCTGGAAGAGTAATAAAGCGTACATTTTTTTTTTCCTTGCTAAAAATGTTTACACTACTGATATGTAAGTAAAAATCTATACACTTTTCCATATAAAGAAAAGCTAAGATAATAATTATTGAACTTATAGTAACTTTAAATGGATTAATTATTTAAAGAGCACATACACAATGTGACAAACTGGCCAAACATAAGGGTTCAAGAAAGCAATTCCTGGCAGATATTCACAGAGTTATGAAGGTTAGACATGCTTAACCGTGTTGTTTGTGACCCTGTAATCACCAACTGCAGAGTCTGAATTAGTCCATTAGATTCTCCCCCAAATGAAATATTGTCAATACCATTATATGCTATGATAAAACTTAATTTTTAAGTTTTATATGACTTTAAGAAGGTGACATTAAATTTAAAACATTTTCAATCAAGATATCTGATTTCTATTTCTCTTAACTGCTGCTGATTTGAAAGTACAAACAAAAAAAGTGGTTTCACACTTTAGTGTGCTGTAGGTCAGGTACTGAGTCGTTACTAAAGACACATCATTGCAGACACTGAAAATGGTGAAATAAAAGCTGGTCAACTTTCAGAGTTAAATAGAAGTAGAATGACTTGTATTTTCATGTAAAATTAATTAACATATACTTTTTTATAGGGATCTATCGCCAACTTAATGGACAAGAAAATTTGACGTTTCAAATCACCACAATTTGAATCAGAACTTAAAAAATTTTTACATGCTAAGAAAACAAAGGTAATTTATATGTATATTTAAAGTTTTTATTATTATTATTATTTTTTTAATCCTCACCCGAGGATATTTTTTCCATTGCTTTTCAGAGAGAACGGAAGGGAGAGAGAGAGAGAAAGTGAAACATCGATTTGAGAGAAACACATCGATTGGTTGGCTCCTGCATGCACCTCGACCAGGGCCAGAANTGAAACATCGATGTGAGAGAAACACATCGATTGGTTGGCTCCTGCATGCACCTCGACCAGGGCCAGAATCAAGTCTGCAACTGAGGTACGTGCCCTTGGCCAGAATCGAACCCAGGACCCTTTAGTCCACGGGCCGACGCTCTAAACACTAAGCCAAAGTTTCAATTATAATTGAGAAAAATTAGAAACATGCTAAAGTTAATGTATTTGCCCTGGTCAGGTGGTTCAGTTGGTTGAAGCATCATTCTGTGCACTGGAGGCTGCCAGTTCAATTCCCGATCAGGGCCCAGGCCTGGGTTTCGGGGCTCAATCCCTGGGGAGGGGGATGCAGGAGGCAGCCGATCAATATTTTGCTCTCACACTGATGTTTCTCTCTCTCTTCCTTCCTCTCTCTAAAAATCAGTTTAAAAATCTTAAAAAAAAAAAAAAGATGTTCAAACCCAGGGATTTTTTTTTTTAAATGTGTCTATAAAACCTGTTTCTAAGTTAATTATACTGACTATAATGAACATCAAAACTCTGTAACACAAGAAGTAATAATGAGCCCAGCCGGGCGTGGCTCAGCGGTTGAGCGTCGGCCTAGGATCCAGGAGATCACAGTTCGATTCCCGGTCAGGGCACGAGCCCGGGTTGCGGGCTCGATCTCCAGTTGGGGACGTGCAGGAGGCAGCCAATTAATGACTCTCTCATCACTGATGTTTCTATCTATCTCTCCCTCTCTCTGAAATCAATAAAGATATATTAAAAAGAAGGAAAAAAAGAATGATTATTAGTTATACTTTAGTTTGGTTAATTGCAATTTTCACATTTCTAATCATCACAATTTTCTTTATTTACATGGAAACAAAGAAAAACTCCTGCCTCAACTGAATGAGAGCAGAAAATGCTGTGGGGTAAATAAGTACTAGCTAAGTCTGAATTCTAAATACAAAAAAGAGGAGCAATTTTAAAAATACAATCTCTATACTGTCAACTCCTGAAGTTTTATCTCCATCCTGGAACTCTCTCCTGAACTCCAGACTCATAGTCTGCCTGCTCAGTATCTCCACTTGGCTTTCCACTAGCTATTTATTTCAAACTCATAATAACCAAGATTGAACTCTTGGCTCACTTCCTCCCCTAAATCCCTTCCTATCGTATTCCTAACTTTAGTACATTACATTATAACTGTCATTTTGGTTGACAGGCTCTAAGTGTTGGTTGGGAGTCATCCTGAACTCTCTCTCTTTCTCTCTCATACCCTATCTACACCCAGTCCATCAGTAAAAACTGGTGACACACATTTTAAATATTTACAGAATCCAAATATTTCACACTCCCTCCACTGCAACTATTTTGGTCCAAGTCACCATTATTTCTCATCTGTATTATCGTCTTCTAACTACTCATTCTGCTACCACCATTGACTCTTACAGGCTATTTTCAACTCAGTAGCCAGAGAGATGCTTTTAAAAGTTGAAATGGCTCTGTTACTCCTCCAATGGCTTCTAATTTCATTCAGAGTGAAAGCCAAAGTGCTTGTGATGACCACAGCCCTACAGGGTCTGCATCTCTCTGTCTCATCTCAACCACCTCATCTCCTATCACTCTTCGGCTGGCCTATTTTATAGTAGCTGTATAGCTCTCCTTGCTGCTCCCTGAATACTCCAGTCAGGATGCCATTTCAAGGCGTTGGCACTTGCTATTTCTTCTTTGTGGATCGCTCTCTCCCCAGATACCCACTTTCCCTCCCTTAACTGTTTCGGGCCTCTGCTGAGTTGTTACCTTACCAGTGCTTCCTTCTCCTCCACGGACGCACAGTCTCCCTCATCCTGTGCTTCGTGTTTGTTGCCATTGCACTTATCACCATCTGATATATTCTATACTGTACTTACTTATTTGTTTGCATTTGCTTATTGTTTGTCTCCTTCAACTAGAATTTAAGCTCTCTAAAAGCAGGTACTTTGTTTTGTTCACCTCTTTAGTTCCATCCCTTAGAACAGTGTCTAGCACATAGTAGGTGACCAATAAATATCTGCTGAATTAATTGATGAATAAACCAGTGAACTAAATATTACACAAAATGCCAATTTATTTTAAATTGGTGGATTTGGATTTTAAATCCAAGAGTTTGGTTGAGTAAGAGGATTAATACATTCAGGCTTATTATACAACCTAAATAAAAAGAGATAATCTTATTTACTTATTGTTCAGAAAATTAATTTTAGTATGAAAATTTAGCAAAAATTTTCCATTTAGCGTTGATCCTAAAGATGACTGTCTGATCTAATGACAACTGAGTAAAACCATTTAATTCAAATGATTCAAATTTCTAAAGCCTGTAAATGTTGACCCAATTTTTTGTGCTATTACTAATATGACACAGAAGAAAAAAATATAAAGCATAGAAATTAAAATCTGGAAGTGTCCTTAGAAATTATGTAATTACCTTTCATTTTACAAAAGAAGGGGCTGAGAGGTAAAATGACTTGCCCACATAACTCGTGTGCTGTGGTCAAACGGTCTTTAAAAACACATCCTCAAGTTCCTACTCTTGCATAAAATGACTTTACGCCTCCTAAAAATTATTTGAATCGCAAAATTCCTTCAAAGATATGAAAGCCTACCCTAGGGCTTGTTGCAAACAAAGGGAACCGAGGGGGAAAACACAGAGCGCTAAGCACAGGGCTGACAGACACTGTGCTCCCTGAATGGCAGTTGGTAGCGGCTGGCTCAGCCTGAGTCCTATCTCTTCCACTAAGAAGACAGCCAAGAAGAGATGGGTCCAACCAATCCCGCTGCCTGTGATCTTTCCCAGACTGCACCCAGGGGTATTTCCCTGTCTAGGGTGGAATGCCATTCACCATGCAGCATGTGCTACCTTGGGTTGATGATTATTTTTTATTGTGGAGAGCTTTTCTCAAACTATAAATAACAATTACATCCAAATAGTAACTTAAGAAAACACTCAACTTAAAATTTATAATACTATGATTTTTATAAGATAAGCACAGGCTGTGCTATTCATGTTCTTTTGCTACTTTTAAGTTTCTTGACTTGAACTCAAACAAAGGCCTCAAATGGTATCTTTCAGAATATTTTTTAAAAGGAATTTCAAATTTTGTGGTCTGATTTTCTTAGTACAGATTTCTAAAAATCAGAATATTTAGTCATAGGGTAGATATCACATGATTCTATAATAATCATATATATATGGCTTTTCAGATACATTTAACTACGATATTTATTATTAGGTAGGCTATTAGGATATAAATAGACAATATTTACCTGGAGAAAAGAGCCAGTTATGGTATTTTTAATGAGAATCACAGAATTCTAGAACTTAAACCTTGGCAAGCCTTTTAGTATCACCCAAATTTTCATATGTAGGAAATATGAAATTCAGAGAAGTTAAATAATTTATCCAAAGTCACACGGCAATTTGGTGGCACAGTCTGGGCTCATTTCTAAGTTCCTAATCTTAGAAATACAATACAAACTTCTTTTATTTGTGGATAATATTTAAAAGTTAGAAAATGCTTCCTCAAAGGGCAATATGTCAACACCCATTAGGACAGCTGCTATAAAAACCCCAGAGAAAGAACAAGTGTTGGGGCCGATGTGGAGGGGTTGGAACCCTTGCACATTTTCTAGTGCGAATGTAAAATGATAGAGCTGCTACAGACAACAGTATAGTGGTTTCTCAAATAGTTAAAAATAGAATTGCAATATGACCCCACAATTCCACTCCTGGGTATACACCCAAAAGAACTGAAAGTAGGGTCCCAAGGAGATATTTGTACATCCGCATCCATAAGAGATTGTTTATAATAGCCAAAAGGTGGAAACAACCCACGTATCCATTTATGAATGTGTGAAGAAAATATGGTATTTACATACAATGGAATATTATTCAACCCTAAAAACGAAGGAAATTCTGACATATTTTACAACATGGATGAACCTTGAGGATATTATGCCAAGTGAAATAAGCTAGTCAAAAAAGGAAAAACACTGGATGATTCCACTTACACGAGATACCTAGAGTAGGCAAATTCATAAGACAGAAAACAGAGTGATGGCTGCTGGGAGGTGGGGGTGGGGAGATAGGGCAGTGAGTGTTTAATACGCATGGAGCTTCAGTTTTGATCAGGAGTACCGAAAATGGACAGTGATGACGGTTGTACCACAATATGAATGTACTTAATGCCACTGAACTGTAGACTTAAAAATGGTGAAGATGGTAAGTTTATGTTATATGTAGTTTACCATAATTTTTTTTAAAGGCAATATGTCAAAAATTACTTACATTTGATGCTAGCACCCATGCTGAGTGGAACTGAGCAGTCTATCACGGCTGAAAGAAGAAAATGAGTCATTTAATAATATTCTTAATATTTATAAATGACAAGAAATGTCCTATGTGGAAATCACAAAAAGTTCCAGAACTTGCAGTTTCTTATTTTGACTTTTATGGTACTTCTAGAGATGAAAAATATAATATCCTTGATAAAAAAAAATATACTGGATGGAATTAACAGCTCACTAGATACTACAAAAAAAAGATGAGTGAACTTAAAAACATTGCAATATAAACTATTCAAAACAAAACAAAGTGAAGAAAGGCTGGAAAATAAACGAATAAAGAGTATCACGACCTAACCTACCTGTATCACGCACTTAACATACTTGTGACTGGAATCCCAAAACAACCTTGGAAAAAACAAAGAGCCAAATTGCAGGACCTACACTATCTGATTTCAAGACTTACTGTAATGCTACAGTGATTAATGCAGTGTGGTACTGTAATAAAGATACACACACAGAACAACAGAACTGAAGAGTAAGTTCAGAAATAGACCCGCACATATGGTCAACTGTCTTTCAAAAGAGCTAAGGTAATTCAATAGGGAAAGATAATCTCTTCAACGAACGGTCGTGGTTATATCTGGATACTCATAGGTAAACATTGATCCTATATCATACCTATGAAAACTCAAAATGGATCACAGACTTAAATGTAGGAGCTAAAACTTATAACCTCTAGAAGAAAACACGAAAGAAAATCTTAGTGACCTAAGGTTAGGCAAAGATTTCTTAAACGGTTTATAAAAAGCATAAACTATTTAAAAATTGAAAAGCTGACTTTGACTTCAAATGTCACAAAATATTTTTCTTTAGATTTTCAATCATTTAAAATATAAATGTCATAAAATATGAACTAAAACTTAAAAACTTTAGCCCTTCAAATGAGAAAATAAAAACAAAAAATACATTAGTGAAAAACTGGTGAAATTCAAATGAGGTCTGTAATTAATAGTATTATATCAATATTAATGTCCTGGTTTTAATCACTGTAATATGATTATATAAAATTTTAACATTGGGGAAAGCTGGGTGAAGAGTTTCTGTGACTCTCTGTACTATTTTTGCAATTTTTCTGTAAGTCTAAAATTATTTCAAATAAAAATTTTAAAAAGAAAATGAAAATTAGACAGGTTACATACTAGGAGAAAATATATGCAAAATATTTCTCTGACATATATATATATATCTTAATATATAAAGAACTCTCCCAACTTAATACTAAGGAGACAAACAACCCATTTTAAAAAATAGGCAAAAGATTTGAACAGGTATTTTACCAAAGAAGATATACAGAGGCAAATAAGCACAAGAAAAGTTGTTCAACATCATTAGTCATTGGGGAAATACAAACTAAAACCCTATCAAATATCCACTAGAAAGCCAATAAGGGGCCACCAATTGGAAGTTTGGAAATGCAAAATGGTATAGTCACTCTGGAAAACAATTCGGCAATTTTTTTATAAAATTAAAATACACTTACTGTATTACCCCACAGTTTGACTCCTAGTAAATAAATTTATCCAGTGAAATAGAAGCATATGTTCAAAGAGTATACATGAATGTTTATAGCAGTTTTATTTCTAATAGCCAAAAGTGAGTCAAAATAATCCAAATGTCCACCAGCTGGTAAATCAATAAACCGTGGTATATTTCATTATATGGAACACTACCTTAGCAATTAAAAGGAAGGAATACTGTTACACACAAGAACGTGGATTAGTCTCACAACTGTTAGCTAACTGAAAGAAGCCAGACCCAAAACGATACGTATTGTATGATTCCATTTATATAAAATTCTGGAAAAGGCAAAACTATAGTTAGAAAGTAGATTAGGGGTTGTCAGGGATGGCGGCGAAGAGATTGCTCGCAAAAGGGTAGGGGAAACTTTTTGGGGTGATGGGATGTTCTATATCAGGGATCAGCAAACTTTCTGTAAAGGGTCAGATAGTGAATGCTTCAGGCTTTGTGGGGTGATATGGTCTGGCCACAACTAGTCAGCTCTGCCTGTCAGTGAATGCAAAAGCCACTATAGACAAAACATGAAAGTATGTGTTTATTTATGGACAATGAGATTTGAATTTCATATAATTTTCATGTCATAAAATAGTCTTTTGATTTTTTCCAACCATTTAAAAATACAAGTACCATTCTTAGTTCACAAGCTGTACAAAAACAGGTGACAGGAGGATTTGTCCTGTGAGCTGTAGTCAGCCAATCTGTTTTACAGCATGATTATGGTGGCAGTCATACAAATGTATATATATTTCAAAATATTTAACTGCACACTTAACATTAGTGTATTTTCTGTATGTACACTGTATCTCAGTAAAGCTGACCAAAAATGAAAAAGAGATTAGTTAGCATCTTCTTTGTGCAACTTCTTTAGTATATTTGAAAACAAAAAAAGTAATTATAAACTTTTATTATAGTAAAATCAATATCTAACCTCAAAATATTAGGGATAACACAGATAAAAGGAAATAACATAGGCATTATACAGATTTCAAATTCAGTCAACAAAAACAACATTCTGAATTTGCTATTCATATAAAGTTAGTAGCTGATCTCTCTATACCAAACACAAATCCTGATATATATAATGTATTCATTTTTGCTATGGATTTACTCTAATTAGAAGTGAAGTCAGGGGTTGAAATTGAGTACAGAAAGTTCACATTTGCACATTTTTACCTTTGGCTGAAAGGATTTTATTATAGTGAACAGCCATGTGATTCTTGACCATGTGGAGAGTACTTAGTCTGAGAGAGGAGGAGTCAGTGCAAAAAGCTAAAAATTAAAACATATTTAATCATTATATATTTAAAATTAATAGAAAATCATCACAAGATAAATTACTGATTATTAAGTTCATTTTAATTAAATACTCTGATATTCAACCACGAAGATACTCACATAACTTTGTGATGGTGAATATGTCCCAGCCTTAATCCTGACTGATAACTGATGAGCTATCAAACCTTTCTAAGAATAAGTTTCACAAGCCTGAGAGTTTTGAGAAGAGATTCTAGAATATAATCTATAATTACATTTATAAAACTATTTTTATTGACAGCTCTCAATCTTGTAACTAAAAATGTTTAGCCACTTGCCTGATCATAGAACGACGTTACCATGGTTAGTACCTGAATAAATGGAGTCGGAGAAATCAAACAAATCCCAAACTCCAAAACTCTATGCACATATTCTATCCTAAGAGGCAAACGTCTAACTTTAACGAGATCTACAAATCAGCTTATGTATTCTTTTTGAAGTATCAGAACATCTTAAGACAAGTACACCACATAGAAATTTTGTGATATTAAACTTCTTGATGTCATCTAAATTGTTTAAAAGAAATCTTAGAAATAATTAAGCACTTATATACAAAAGTATCAAATGTAAATGTAGGCATAACTTTCTTTAACATTAGAAACAGTTTTTGAGAAGTAATACATGCATGTGGCTAAAAAACATAATCAACAGCTAAAATGGTAACAAAGATTGAAAAGTAATTGACTTTCCTGATCCCCGCCTCCCCTCCTAGAAGAATACTCTTACTTTTTTGTTATGCGTCCTTCTGGGGAAATTCTACACATAATATAAGAATATACAAGTCCTGGCCAGTGTGGCTCGGTGGTTAAGTGTCATCCCATGCACCGGGAGGTCACCAGTTCGATTCCCAGTCAGGGCACATGCCTAGGTTTCGGGCTTGATCCCCACTAGGGGGCGTGCAGGAGGCAGCTGATTGATGTTTCTCTTTCACACTCTCCCTTCTCCCTTCCTTTCTCTCTCAAAATCAGTAAAAACATATTAAAAAAAGAATATACAATAATGATACTACTATTACTACTACTATAAACATTTATTGAATAGGTACCATGAATGCATTATTCTAAGTTCTTCACATTTAAAACCTCATTTAGTTATTATCACCATTTAATAGACATGGCGACTGAGGCACAGAGGTCTTCAAGATCACACAACTTGATAAAGGATGCAGTTTAGATGTTGACTAAGGCAGCCTCATACTTACAACCACTATATATAACCACACATATATTCTTTAAAAAAGGTTAGCAAACTATATATTGTTCACCATCCTGGTCTTTTACGTAAGTATATTTTAAATCTAGTTTTAAATTTTTAGTTAAAAATTGTTTTTCAAAGTTAGATTCTGGCTCCATGTGTATATAATATATACTTTGTTACAAAGAAATAAGTGAGGTAACAGAAAATGTGACCTTCCCTTCACATTTGGAGGAACGAGTATTGACGATTTTTTATGTAAATAAAGAGAAAAAAAAGATTTAATAAATTATTTTGCCTAATAACCCAGACTTAAAACTTTTAAACTATAATTATAAAAATGTATTTTAAGTTTACATTAAAAATGGAAAGGCTTTAAAATATTGTCCTTTCATGGGACCTAGAAATCCAGTTGAAGAAAGAAGCCTATGTTGGCTCCTGAAACAAAATGCATTTTCTCTGCACAGCTTTTCCTTTTCAGTGCTTGTGTCTTTAACAACCTGCAAATCACCATTTTAACAAGAAAGGCATAACTTAGACCAGGGTAGTCTACCAGCAAGGAGTAGAGTTGGGCTGGAGCTGCAGCAGGGAGAAAGAGGCAGCCAAGTCCACATTCAGGGCACAATAATAGTTAGAAATGATGGACTCCTAAATTAATCTCAAGGATTCCTATAATATATAATTAATAATATGAAGTTCAAATATTGATTTAATAAAAAAATATTTCATCATGTCATAATTTACAAATAAAGGAAACAGTCAATCTTTACCAAACCTTTCACCATTTTAAGTACCTCACTTACCATTACTTTTGGTGCTCAAGTGTCCTTTAAATAGGCACAGTGGACCAGATCTGGGAAGGACAGGGGTTCCTCCGACTTTTAACCAAAAAAACATGCATTAGGATAAATAAAACACAACTTTCACAAAGACAACGATATTGAACATTTAAGAAATAATAAATTTATCTTTAATACTAGAGTTGTTTAAAATTTTATTCAATCATATTACTAACCAGAAATGATATTCAGTCAGACAAAAATTCTTCAGCCATTGATAACGTTTTTTCTTTTAAGAAAATAAGTTATTTTCAAAACAGCTGTACCTTGAGACTTTAGTTTCACTGGATAAAATGATAAATGTTATTTGATATATATTGACTTCATTCTGTACATTACTGGCCTACTGGATTTTTAAATGATTTTGAGATATAACAGAACTCAGATTTTGAGTTAATACATATATATCATCTATTTCAGTTAATCATAGGCTAGTCTGTCCTACAATTAATTTTAAGGAAATAATCCTCCTACAAAGTAGCTGAGTAAATTATAAATTATATCATATGTTACTATGTGTAAAATAAATACATATATATAAAAGAATCAGAATGTAATGTTTAAAAGATGTCTAACTCACCCTCTTCCTCTTGCTTGGATCCTACCTAAACAGTCCCCCTTCCAAATCTATCCTTCCCTGAGCATTCTCCCTCAGCTCTTGGGTACCATAGAGAGATATCCTATGTCTTATATTACTCTTTAATGATAGCTTAACAATTTTTTTTTTTTAATTTTTAAAGTTGACTTAAGAAAGGGAGAGGGGAGAGAGAGAAACAGCTATGTGAGAAACATTGATTGGTTGCCTCTCATACACTCCCTGACCAAGGATCAAACCCACAGCCTGGTACGTGCTCTGACTGGGAATCGCACCGGCAATCCTTCAGTACATGGGACAACACTCAACCAGCTGAGCCACACTGGCCAGGGCTAGTTTAACAATTCTTTAAACTTCCCCTGTTTAAATCATTTTATGGCTCCTATCTCCTGATTGTACCCAAATTGATACAACGGGGCATGAAAAAGTAGCCTCAAACCAAATGCCAGGAAAAAAACATCATCCTCTAAATTAGGACTAAAATCCTGTCTATGAGATCAAAGGTCTTGCTAGGGTAGTGAAATTCATCAGGAAGTTCGAGCAGCCCAGTTCCCTACACGATGTGACGTCACTAAGTCAGAAGGGACTCTAGTGAGGAAAGGTGAAGGTGTTTCTTGCGACAGAATTTCCCAGGAATGCCAGAAGTTTGGTATTGGTAATCTGATACCATTGATAAGTGTCTCTATTGGACCAACAGATTAAAAAAAACCTTTATCAAGCCGCTTTCTGTTATCTGTACTAATTGGTTGCCTTCTCTCCATTTCTTCCTAAATCACTGATAACAGAGTGAACTGCAGTTTGTTTTTCTCAGTCTTTTCTCCCCCTGGAGAAGCTGGAAGGCAGACTTGATAGATGATCTAGTCCACCATTTTACAAATAACTAAGGCCCAGGGAGTCAAAGAGATTTGCTGAACATTACCTAGTAAATGGCAAACAAGGATTACAAACAAGATATATTGTTTTTTAGGCGGTGCTCTTTCTACTATACCACCATATGGAAAGTTTGCCTTACAAAAGAATGTCTAAAAAATGTGATATCAAAAAGAGAATGACAAAAGAGGACAATAATGATTTTTTACTTTAGGTGTCTTAATATTCTGTGCTCTGAAATCACCAAAGGTAATCTCTTAATGAAATCTAAGAAATTTAGAATCTTTTCAATTAAAATTAAGTATTTTGGCTCTGGTTCAAATTACTTATGGTTTCCTATCAATAATACTAATTAGGATCTAAGAGAACTGACTCCCCCAGATATTTGTTGAATATTATATTTGTTTCAAAAATTCAAAATCAGTAACAACGACGATATATATTATATAATATCCTAAAAATGAAGCTAATTAAATTGGGTAAGTTATAAAAGTATTAACCTTTTTACATTTTCACAGGAACCCTTTTTTTTTTTTTCAGTCCTCACCCAAGGATTTTTTTCCCATTGCTTTTCAGAGTGGAAGGGAGAGGGATGGAAAGAGGGGTAGGGAGGGAGGGAGAGGGACAGGAACATCAGTGTGAGAGAGACACATTGATTGGTTGCCTCCCGCAAGTGCCCCAACCGGGGCTGGGGATTGAGCCTGCAACTGTGATACTTGCCCTTGGCCGGAATGGAACTTGGGGCCCTTCAGTGTGCTGGCCGACACTCTTACCACTGAGCCAAACCAGCCAGGGCAACAGGAACCCAATTTTAAAAATAATTCAATAAATACTGAGAACTTACTAAGTATATTATACTCTACATTTTACATATATCCTTTCCCATGTCCCCACCTCTAGCATGAGGGGGTAAGTAAAAACAATGGCTCTATGGTTTCACATTCCCCACCTGGATTCAAAGCCTGGTCTGATACTTACTGTGACCTTGGCAAATTATTTATGATCTCTTAGTTTATTAGTCTCCAGTGTTTATTCACTGTGAAATGAGGATAATACCTGTCAAAAACAGTATGTTTTTGTGGATCAAATAATGAGATAACTTGGAAATAGGGCTTAATATTAGTTTATGTTACAAAATTTCTGAAAACCATAAAAAGCATGTTGGTTTGTGATTTCTGGACGTTAGGCTGGTGAAGTGTTAGCATATACAGTTTGCTAATCAATAGATAGTTATCTCCTACATTCTGAACAGCACTTATTTTTACTGATTACTTAATAAAGGCACAATCATATTCAAAGCAAGACTTATTACACGAACCACCTGGCAGCCTGGTTTAAAGTTACTTTTAAAAATAGAGAAGAACACTGCATCAGGAGGGGAGGGTCTGGAGATTGCCTTATTGGGTGCGAAGAAAGGAAGCTACTTTGTTGACAGTGGAGATGCAAACGATTTCAGCTGGGCTCAGGGTTTGCAGGGATTTTGTTATATGGCCCCAGCTGTTCCACGATGATGTCCACTTGACCCACGGAGTGTTCAGTCAAGGACAGATGCACACGGTGACCGTGGGTTAGTTCTTTGCTACTGCAGCCAGCAACACTTGCAACACTTGAAAACTTACCAGAAAAGCAAAATATCAGCCCCGCCACCTGACCTGCTGAATCATAACCTGCATTTTAACATGATTCCTAGTGACTCCTACCCACTTTAAAGTCAGAGACTCCCCGGGTTACTCAGCGGTTCTGAGGGGAGGGTGCCAGTCACGGAAGGGAAGAGTTCGTCTTTACCGAGCACTCACAATGCGCCAGGGGCTTCAGACGTATTACCTGCGTTTAATTCTCAAGAACGCTACGACACGGGTGTTCTACCCCGTGTACACGACACGAGGAAACCGAGGCCGCCTCCGTGGAGTGCAGCGGGGGCCCGGGGAGGTCTGGCTTCGGAGCCCCGGGGCCACGGAGGTAACAAGGGCGGCACGGCCGGGGGTTCAGGCGACCGGGCCTCCCGCAGTCAGGGCCACAAATTCTAAGAGGCGCCCCTGTGAACCCCAAGAGCAGAGCCTACTCCAGTGCCTGGGGCGACACTCGGGTCCACAAAGGAGACTAAGCGGGGGACCGAGAGGGCCCAGGGCGCGGCCACGACTCCGCACCCCGACCAGGACCCGGACCCCCGACCCGAGGCTCGGAGCGCGCGGGCCGGCGCGAGGCGCGAGACGGCGCCCTTTACCTCTTCGGCTGCCATTCATGCTTAGGTCCTCTCGCAGCCGCCGCGGAGGGACGCTGGGGACCCCTGGGTCCTTCCCCCCCGCTGGGCCAGCCCAGGCAGCGGAGGACTGCCACGAGGAACCGGCGGCGGGCGGCCGCGGCGGCTGCAGACCGTCGTCAGGCCGGTTGCTAAGGGCCTGTGCCCGGCGCCGGGATTG